CCAAGAGTTGGCTTGTTTTGAGGAAACCACGGAAGATACTAGAAATAAGTTTGTAGGAACTTGTAGCCTATTTTATTAGCTTTTTGAAAAGTCCTCATCGAGTTCATTTGCCAAGGAATCCGTTTTTTTCACAGTGGTTTTCGGCGACGTGTAGAAAAAGAACCTCTCGGAGTTTGCGCGTTATTTTTCCATTCACCTCCATCCGGTGGGGATGTAGCAAATCAGTGGCGTGGCGTGCTTTGCGATTTATCGATTGTTATGCCATTTAAACCTATGGAAAAGTATCGATAAACAGGGTGTTCGCAGTGAACACCTTAATAATCGATTATTTACCACAACCTCAAATGGGGAAATATCGATAGATCGTACAGAACGCCACGCCGCTGTAGCCAATGTATGAAAATGAAGTAGTGTTGAGCAGAGATGGAAATTGAAATTTCACGTGAAATTTTATGAAATTTCATAAGGCTCGAATAAATTTCTCAAAATTTGAAATTTATTAATTGTTTTTTTGAATTATTAATTAAACCTTTGGAAGTCCGAAAGCGTTTCAGATGGTCTTTCTGTTGATGCTGCGGTATTATGCTACTCTACTGAAGGTGCCAGACACAGAGGGGGGGGGGGGCAAAAAGAGGAGTTTAGAGAGAAAAACCCCAACCTAACCTCAAAACTAAACGAAGACATTTGCAACGCGCGAATGTTTTAGGCTTGGGTTATAAAATTTCAAAAGGCGTTTCTTGGCATCCTGAATGCATCCCCAAAAGTTTCATATTTCATGAAATTTCACACATGAAATTTAACACGAATATATTTCATGAAATTTTCCGTGTCTGGTGGTGAGGCGTAACCGATCGATTATCGATATTTTACCGTTTGTAGATATGGTAAAGATTCAATTATGAAGGTGTTCATTGCGAACATCCTGCTTATCGATCCTCTTCTGTAGGTTTAAAGAGCAGATCAATCGACATATCGAAAAGCACGCCACGCCACTGAAATAAAGGTTATAACTATTCAGACGCAGGGTACGACATATCTCGAATACGCTGAGCTTTGACCGCACTTACTTCGATAGCTTTCATGATAACTTCATTAGAAAAGTCCTAGCGTAGAGCTAAAAGGTTGTCAACTTAATTACTCTAAAAGTTGCTGTGTCCGCACACAGGGACTGGAGCTGGAGAATAAAAAAATGACTCGAAATTTCCGAAGGGTCCTTTTAACTCGTCACCGAAAAATTGCCGCAGAAAAGCACATTTAAAACCGAAAAAGTTCAACGAGATCTCTTTGGAAAGCCAATAAAATAAACTAAAAAACCCCATCAAACTGTACTTTGATATCCTTATCCCTCCATGGCGTGAATTAATTTTAGGTCTCGGATTCTGAGAGGCATAAATCCCGGCTGTAGCTTTCTTAAGGACATGGAGTCCCAAATTTTTTCCTCCTTCGGGTAATCATTTTTCCCAAAAGAAAACGCTGAAAAAAATTTGCAACATCATGCCACAGGGAAATAGTTCAATTTTTGAAAACTCAAAGAAGAAGAAGGTTCAAAAAGGAGGCAAGTGTGTAATGCCGCTTGAACAGTCTTCATTTTATTTATTTATTTATCTATTTATCCATTTATTTATTTATTTATCTATTTATTTATTTATCTATTTATTTATTTATTTATTTATCTATTTATTTATTTATCTATTTATCTATTTATTTATTTATCTATTTATTTATTTACTATTCATTCACTTATTTTTTTTTCAATTTGATTAAACACGCAAACCGTCTTATCTTCATGCAACTACGAAGAATGGAATGGAATAAGTAGCGTATTTTGTCATCACAGGTGGAACCCGAACCAACATTGAAGGCGCTATGGCTTTTTTGATGACTAGGTCTGGATGCAACTATTCGTGTTCTTAGGATGCCCGCGTTGCATCACCGAAAATTGCAGGCGCTCTGGCTTTTTTGATGACTAGGTCTGGATGCAACTATTCGTGTTCTTAAAATGTCCGCGTTGCATACACAAAAAATCACAGGCGCTCTGAGTTTTTTTAGGGCACAACGTGGTTGCGGTCGTCCGCTCTCAAATGTTTTCTACGCTGCATTTACAATCGTGTTTACAATGAAATTCTTAGAGTTCGAATTAGCCGTGTTGCATCGCGGCAGCGTTGCCAGCGGTTCCAAATGGTGCAATTTTTCAAGGATTTCATCGTGAACACGATTGTAAAGGCAACCTAGAAAAGTCCTGAGAACTAACAACCGCAGCCATAAGTTGTGCATAACATTATGATAACCAGAGTGCCTGCAATTGTTTATGTATGCAATACGGACTTGAGTTCGGACTACGAACAAAATAGGCCACTCGTTGCTTTCAGTACCTCGTCGTTGTACGAAGATTGGGTGTTTTGAGTTTTTAATCAAATATTGAAAAAGGAACGAGTAACTGAAGTGAAGTTTTAGTGTTCCTTGAGGTTGATTCTCTGTTCCCACGGTCCTGGACATAGTTTGACGGGTAAAATAAGATAGGTCTTGGCCACTTTGTACAAGCTTAAACCATCAAAACATGATTCTATGTCTAGCGGAACTGGCCCATTGGAATGAAGAAGTCAGGTTGTCTATCGGTCTCCAAAAGTCCCCAATGTCCCCGATATCCCCGTAAGTCCCCAATTTTCTTGTTCAGGTCCCCAAAAATGACAAAAATCGTCCCAAACACCGGTATTTTCAAATTTTTCCCGCCAGTCTCGGCGGCGCGGTATAACTAGGAATAAAAAAAACTGAAGTGTTGCTTGGTTTTTCGTATGATTTCGTCGGTTTAACATGATTTGTACAACCAGTCGTGTAAAATACGCCTTTAAACGCTCTAACTAGCTCCATTTCTCTTACTATTTCGGGGAAAAAGTCCCCGATTTTTTTTTTAAAAAAAAACTCCCCTTAAAGTCCTCGGAAGTCCCCAATTTTGGTTTTTCATACTTGGTAGACAGACACCCTGGAAGTCCACATCGTTCCATGAAAATATTTTACCAAGTATTTAACCATACATATTTTTATGTTTTTTTAAGCAACTTCTAATCAAGGCTCGTTCGGCGTTTTTCTTCCGCCGGACAGGATCCTGACTCCTCCATCTGAACGGATGGCGANGGGGGGGGGGGGGGGGGGCTTTTCTCCCGTCTTAATTTCACGACGGACACATACTCGGGAAGGAGGGCGGTCCGCCGATGATGGGGAACCCGAGATGGCTCGCGAGAACAATAGCGAAGTTTATTTTCGGACGCTCGGCTGAAATCGTCGCTCCTCCGACTCGAGAGCGTATCTCCAACCCCACACGAGCCCCGGAATGCATCAGTGGCGTGGCGTGCTTTGCGATATGTCGATCGGTCTGCCATTTAAACCTATGGAAAAAGATCGATGTACAGGTTGTTCGCAACGAACACCTTAATAATCGATTTTTCAGCATACCTTTAAATGGGGAAATATCGATAGTCGATCATTCACGCCACGCCACTGGAATGCATGGGAACAGGGCTCACGTTGAAATCGAGGTACGCCCTTTCGTCGGAGGAGCGACGAAATGCCGCGGCGCTTCGCTGCGGCGGCGGTAGCGGGGACAAAGTTGGAGTGTGAAACTATTTAAAAGCCGGTGCGACCAGATTGCAAGTCCTACCGCGTTGCGGAAGAGAGCCGCAAGTGCATTTACGCATGAGCCACGTTCAGCACATGGTCGTATGTGTCGCGAGGCTCAACCCAGAATGCACTTACGGCTGTTTTCCGTTGCATGGCTGTTGTCGCGGAGCGCGGAAATGCCGAACCAGAAATCGGAGCCGGGCCGCCCGATATCAACCCGGTCGCGAGTTTGTCAGTCGAGAGAGCGCCAACCTCGGGAATTCAATTAACCCGCGTCAAACCCGTCGTCCTGAGTAGTAACGTCGTATGAGCCCTCGGACGTTGCCGAAAACGTTCAGACGTTCCTCTGATAAAATATGAAGGGGTCTGTTGCGTAGCTCACTAAGAGCAGAAGGAAGGGTTCGTCGTATCCTGGACGAAGGAGCGTAACTCTATTTTAAGGTTGCAAAATTGACTCGAATAATCCAATTTTGTCCAAGAATGTACCAACGATATAGAAACTATAGATTGGGGGTGGCCTACGAAAAAACGTAACACACATGGAGCGGTCGTTCGATAGGCGGGCGGGGAGTGGAAATGGCCGATTGCTATCTCCGTCATAACCTCAAATACATGGAATCTTACGGGAGTTTTTAGAATGAATGATTTAGCGTTGAAATTTGTATCGTAAACGCACTCGATGAATGGCTACGTTCCATATCTGGACACAGATTTTCAAATAGTTGGTTATTTTGGTTTAATAATTTTAACTTCCGCCGCCGCCGCGCCGCGCTGCTGCACTGTGGCGCAACGCGTGGAGTATTCATGCAGTCTTGTAGGCGCTATGCGTTTCACGCCGACTGCTGCTGACCTCACTGTGTTTGATGCAATGCGTGAAGTATCCATGCAGTCTTGTAGGCGCTTATATGCCGACTGCCGCACCGAGGACTTCATCTCAAGTCCTCGTCAACATTGCTTGTGCCGCGCCGCTCCAGGCCAAATTGGGAGTTTTGTTCTCTTAACTCGACTAATTAAAGGTGCGCTGTCCCTTGTATATCACCGATAGACGACAAAATTAGAAATTACTGTACTCTCAGGAGATGAGAGATTTTGTCGCCTTTTCTCGTTTCTAATTTTTTTTCTGAATCCGATGTTTTTATACCTACATTTAAAATAATTGCAAAATCTGCCGCCATGGGCCGCGGCCCACGTGGCTACCCCCTAATCCGGCACTGTATAGGACGCACACACACACACACACACACACTAAGCTTTCTACCAAACGGAAGAAGGGGCCTTCAACCCTATGCTTGTTAAATGGAGATGTTGTTTATTGAAAGGCGTAAGAAAGTATAAAAAGAAGTTATGTATTGGATTATTTTAAATAATTTTTTTCTTTTTCACAGGATTCCAAACTCCGGAATGTAGTAGCAATGGGCGCTCAAGACACTTTGGAGGAAAAAACCTTGACTCTGTGCTGCGGTTCGGATTTTGTGAACCTCAATTTCATCAATTTCTGTTGCAACAAAAAAGAAACTGCTCAGGTAGGTAACTTAATGTCTGCCCTATACTTCCTTTGTCACTACCCTAAGTATTATTCCAAGTTGAGAATCGTGCAATTTTGAACCCTCTTTTAGCGAACCACCTGTAGAAAGTAGGCACTTGGAATGTTCATGGGGCTAATTGTAAGTACATGAAAAGCCATCAGAGGCAAAACGTCTCTGTCGTGATGGTTTATTAGACTTCTGTGCACTTAAACTTTCGAAAACTCAGCAGCTATAACAACGGCTTTTACCAGAATCAATGGCCACTGTCATCTCAGGTTCATCGCTTTACAAGAAATTCCAGCAACATTTTTCGAAGCAATCTTGAGACAATTCTTTAAAATCCATGGAAATTCCACAAGATGTTTCAAGATGTTGTGTGGCGTGGTTTCCTTGTGAAGATATGAAACATGAGAGGAACTTAGGCAGTCTCTTGTGTTAAGTAAAAATGCCATAAGGCATTTTGCTCAAAAATACTCTTAAGAGCATTGGACTGTCGCCAAATTTCCCCTCAGAGAATGTATATTTTTGAAGAAAGTTATGAGTATTTTTCCTAGCAAATTTTACACCTTTTTGATCAAATTACGAACGAAATCTTCTGAAAAATCGGAGGCAAGATATTCACAAATTTTCCTGGAAATTCGTGATGTGTCGAAGGAAATTTGGCGACGCCTGATGGCACATACGGTGTTCTTTCTTAGCACAGCAATGGTGTGAACTGCCGCAGGTTTATTATTGAAAGTTATAGACAAAAGCTGTGGACAAAAGGAAAATGGAGCAATCCTATTGTTCAAAGCAGATGTTTGCAATGGATAAAGGAGGTGAATAATTGATTCATTTCTGAAAACCCAGGGGAGCCCCCATAGTTATTCTATCACTTTCCCCCTTGGTCTGTAACAACCACCCGTTTCAATTAATAGAATCGCTTAATTTTTCCTTTGTCCTCTTTGTCTATTGCTTTGTCTATCAATTTCACTAATCAGCCCACATGACGGTGATTCTGGTTGAATTATTCAATTTTCTTCTCAATTTGAAAACTTAGAGCAGCCTCTGCACAATGCACTGATACTTTAAATTGGTTGAAATCTTTTAACTAAACTATTAGGATTATAAGTATGAAAACCACATCTGTCATGAGTTTAAAGTTGACTTGGTGTAACTGCACCCCAATTTTAGACTACCTGATTGGTTTACAGTTATACCCCGATCATCCGATGATTTGTGGTGAGGGCCGTGTTGGATATTGAAATAGTCCGACAACCAAAACCACTGATCGAAGACTGAAAAATGGCGTTTCAGCTCTGTAACCAAAAAGCACAATCCTAGTCAGTTTTCTTTCGGCTTTGTAAAACATAGTTATTTAAATGGGAAAAACACAAATATAAAACCACACATACCCACTCTAAATTTCTGCCCAAAAAAACCGGGTTTCGTCATCTCGGCTACCTTTTTTTTGACCAGAAACACAATTTTGAATGTCTATACTATATCTGCTTCTAATAACTGAAGCATTGTATAGTCAATAATCGGAATAGTCAGATGATCAGGACATCACTGTAATCGTATATTTCTCAGTGTAAGAATCCACGGAAATAACTGCAATTAATTTTAACCAAAAAAATGTCCTCTCACAACTGCATCCCACTTTTTACTCCCTAGAAAATCCCTGTTTCTAGGGAACTTCCCTTCATTTTAATTTTCCCAGACATCTGTATTACCTGATACATTGTAGCTCAATATTTAATCAACCATGAAAATTAAATAAGTGGTTAATCTGGGGGAAGAGAATGGAACAATTTATCCTGTCTTTCTTGATGAGTTTGAAAGAGCATTGTGTCTGAAAATCAAACTTTATCTCAGCTATCAATATGACTAGACCTTTCAGCTCTCATCTAATATTTTAATATTTCTCTCGGTTTTGATGTATACATAGGGATTTTCTCCCTCCACTCTCTCAACCACCTTAAAATTTTCTCATGATCTCTTCCCATATGCCTCGCACTTGAAAAATATTAAAATCTGGTGCTATTATAATTTTTGCTTTGTGACAAGATAAACCGCCTTTAAAGAAGCTATTCTGAAAATACTAAGGAACATGAAATTTACTCATATTGCTGACGAAATGTAACTAAAGCAGCTCCTTTTATAGCAGCAGCTCAGTGGCAGCAACAGATTTTTAGAAGTTTTTGCTGGTGTTTAATTTTGAGGATCTTTTTCCAGGGTTTAATTTTTACTTCAAAATGAAAATAATTTTTCTTTCTCTCGCGACAATCACTAGTAGTCCAAATAATGGCTTTGATCAGAAATGTATTTAAGTTCGCAATAAATATTTCAGTTTCTTACGTGTAAGCAGGTGAACTCGTGGCTTTTTATTCATCCTAATCATTTTCCCTTTCACTCTGTAGTCATAAAGATCTAAGTAAGCATAGCTTGCTTCAACCAACACATCATTTGATACGATAATAATCGTGGAAAATCTTCTTGTTCTGACCCATACTGCTGTGCTAAGGAAAAGCGCCGTATGAACTCGGGAGTGTTTCAAATTTTCTGCAGTAAAATTTTTATTTCCAAGCAAAGTTTCGAATTTTTTTTTTGTTGAAATTTTCAGATAATTTAGATCTGATTGCGAATAAAGTTTTTTAAAATTCTGGGTGGAAAATATTCACAGATTTTCCTGAAAATTCGTATTTTATCGAATGAAATTTGGCGACTTCCTTAGCAAGGCAGTATAACAGCCCTGTAAATGACCAATACATAAAAAACATGCACGTAAACAAGGAGAAAAGAACTCGAAGCCCCACTCAAGTTACAGTGACTTACAATGCAAATGGATTAAATAGTTCTAAATCAAGGCATGCCATTCCGCTCCGAGTTTTAATCTCAATACCGTTGGAGCAAACCCAAGCCCTTTAGTGTTTGAATTAATTGATCAACCCTGTAAATTCTTTTAACTTTTCAATGATACCTGTAGTTAAACCGTGTATTTCACCCGTATTTTGACTTTGTAATTATAATTGTAGTTATGGACAGACGAACTCCTGAAAATAGCGTTCAACCTGGCACTCCTCAACAGTTCTGCCATTATGTTCCTACGAAAATCGCACGTTAAACTCACCTTAATGCTTGATAAAGCCGGAAAAATACCTGTGAAAAAGTAAGCATTCCATTCCTCCTTACCTTTGTACATTTTATGCCAATGGAGAATTTGCAGGTGTCTGAAATTTGGTGAATTCATGTTTTAATGGAATCTACTAGTTGAACTGAGTATAAGAATATCCTTGGTTTAAAAATTGAACAATTATCGGAAGAGATATCACAAAGTGACTTAATCAGCCAAAATGTATATTTTTAAATGGGAAATGCCGCCTGATGACGTCACAAGGCGGCACAATTTTTCTTTTTTAAATCTATTTCTCTACAATTTCTCAAATCAGAAAAGAAATTTTAAAAGTTTTGCGAACTTGGACTTAATTCTCTCAGATGAGGCAATAATATTTCTTCACGCAAATTCTCCATTATTTGATTTGATTATCATGGCATACTTTGCGATTGATCGATTGATCTGCCATCTAAACCTATGAAAAAGGATCGATAAAGAGGGTGTTCATAACGAACACCTTAATAATCGATTCCTTACCACAGTTTCAAATGAGGATTATGGATAATCGATCATTCATGCCTCGTCACCGTTAATTATCCTTTTTTCTCCATTTCCTCTTTGTTTTACGATAGAAATGGTGAACATCCCTAAAAAAAAACTGCTCGAGTAGGTAGACCTGATTTCTTCATAATTAAAGTAAAGCACATCAGTGTTGCGAAATTTCCTTTCCTTGTAAGTAATTTTTACTCTTGATTGTTCCACAACTTTCTGAGAGGTATGTATCTACACTCTGCCACTTTTGAAATATTCATTCATGTCTCAGCTCTCAATCGTGTTGAGCTTGAAAGAATGAAAGAGGGCTTGAACTACAGTTTCTGGCTCAATTTAAAAACAACAGCTATACCAGCAGTTTCCTTATGCACATTAATGTTTTTACAGATGAGCAAGAAATTGCAGTTACTAGCTGCAAAATGCCGTTTGATTATTCTGCCGTGCTACGGAAAAACGTTGTATGAACTTTCGAGAGTTGCCAAATTCCTTCCGATAAAATACTTATTTTTGAGAAGAATTCTCCCGTGTTAGATAATTTAGAGCTGATATTGCGAACAAATTTTCTGAAGAATTCAACAAAAAATATTCCCTTATGGCAACTTCTGAAGGCTCAAACTGCGTTCCTCCTTAACACAGCAGTATTTTTCAGCTCATTAATGAGACTACATTTTGAAATTGGGAACTACAGTTTCTAGGCCAACCGTAAAAACACTCATGTGCTTAGGGATACTAATGGTACATACATTGTTTCGAAACTGAGCAAGATATTGTAGTTCCACATTGTAAAATGCAGTCCAACTATTGGGAAAATATTCGATCAAACTTCTTACGTCCTTTATCATTTCCATCATGGTTGTAAATCATCAGTGTTCCAGCGGTTTTTTTTTGCCGTCTACCTCTTCACAGAGCAGTGCGTCCGAAAGGTTATTTCTTCCCCTTCCTGTTTGTTGCATGACGTTTTTTATCCTTACTCTTGAATCTTGGTAGCCAAACAAAGAATTGATAAGAAAAAACAAGAAAAAATGAAAGAAAGCCCTCCTCTCAGATCTGTTCATTTGATAGATGTGCCATGTGCGTGATCAAACGCCTCAAATATCTTTGGGATGACTCAATGGATTTTAAGTGGGTTTCCGGACAGTAGGTCTACTGTAGAATGCCTACGGATTAAATGTCTACGTTGTTTCAGCTGACGGTAAAAGGGTCTACGAAATAATGATACTGCAAACTCAGCTGTCTTGAAGCACTCTCAGATGAAGCAGTAAAATTTTTGTGTGCAAATTCTCCATTCTGCCTGAATTTATTGGATATGTTTTCCAATGAGTGACCGTCTTTATTCTGTAAATACCTTGTTACTATATAGCTGCATATGCTTAATGACTTGAGCACTTGTGTTAAATTATTTCTCTTACCGTCCATCTGTTAGAAAAAAGCCAACAGACAATGATTAGAATCATCCTTATTGATCAATTACTGTCACTTTTATGATTTTGATGCTTGATTTTCACCTCTTTTTTGCAGTTTTCACTTTATTTTCCCAGAAAGTATTTAGTAAGTTTAGCCTGGAACGAAGGAATTTTTAAAAATGTTTAAGTAACCTTTTCTTAGCTCTTTATTAATTTTTGAAGGTCTATACCCAGTGAGCTGGGTGATCCTGTGCTTTTTCAATGTTTGATTTCTTAACTTTTAAGAGTCGATGTTTATAGTCGTTTCAATTTTTTTCCAGCATTATCAAAATATTTGCTCAAAATAAAGAAGATCGTAAACGGGTGGAGAAAGCCCTGGACGCAAGCGGGATTCCCTCTGGCAAGGTACAGCTTTACTTCAACTCATAAATAAGACTGTTTTATGAAACGAGACGTCTAGCATACACACATCTAAATCCCTGCGTTTTCTTTGTTTAGAATTTAGATTACGAACAGATCAGGTTTTAAAACTCTGTCATTGGTCTTTTAAGTCGAATTTACATGTAATAGTTTAATAACTGAAACAATTGATACATGTACGCAAGATAAGTTTAAAAAGAGCGTTTTGAGATCAAAATTCAAGTAAAGTTCGTAGATTTGATAAATTCTTACTTCCAAACATTAAAAACTTGAGAGGTTTTCATCAAAAACACAAACAATTTCATTAAAAATAGACTATCTGTCGAGGCATTCAGTGAAATGCCTGATTTTTCTATTTGCTTGCGACACAGATACCAATAACACTTCTAAAAAAAACAAGGTTACTATAAATTATTATGATTTTCAATTAATCTGCCTCTTCAAAGGAGACCAAAGTAATTGATGAGCTGAAATCTTAACTCAGTTTTTCAAACGTTCTGAAGATCAATACTGCAGGTGTGTTAGTGCCCAAATAATTCACAAATTTTTGTTATTCCAAGAAACAGATCTAACTTGAGGAAAAAATATTCTTAATAAACTCACTTTTTAAATTCTTTAATAAAACTGGACGGACTTCAGCGGAAGTAGAATCAGCTTAACTACATCAGACATTGCCTATTTTTCTCTGATGCTTATTTCTTAAACAGAGAACTAGGCATCACTGAGATTTAAAATTTCGTAAGTTTACCCTCTATATTTTAAGGTAAATTCACAGACATTTGAAGGTATTATGTAGTTACATTCTCTTTTTAAGAAATAAAGCATGAGAGAAAATTAAGAAGCATTAAAAGCAATTAAGCTGATTCTGGTTAAATCCATCTAATGATGATTAATATTGCGGTTATTTTTATTATGGTCAATTATATTCCCACCATTTTTTTCCCCAACTGTATCCATGCAATATATTGATGATTGTTTCTTGCATTCTTGTCTTTCAGAATGATACAGTCAGCGTACAGAAATTTCAGTTTGAAGACTTTTTCAACTTCTACAAAAATCTAACGCAACGCACAGAGGTGGAAAAAATCTTTGAGGAACTGTAAGTGTTAACGCAGCAATAATTATTAATTTTGAGAGAATACCAAAAGTGCTTCTGAGAATTTCTCGAGTAATTTCGTGAGAACATCCAAATTGATGCTCAACTTACTTTCAGGTCTTCAACTGAGCCATCAGTTTGATGTTAATTTCTATTTCAAGAAAGATTCTCTACCAGTATGATTATTGATAATGAAGAGAAATTTGAACAAGGAAATGTTAGCTCTTTTATATTACAAGTAATCTTCTGTAATCTTGTTGATTGTGAATGAGAGAGGTGTCAAACATTATAGACACTTTATCTATCACTTCTGTTTAAGTATGTGACCTTTTAAATATTCTACAATACACTTTTTTAACTCTTCGAAGATGCAATTTGTAATATTTCACACCTGTTTCAGTTGCGGTAATTCAAAGCGGAAGCTGATGTCTGCTGCCCAACTTGTAGAATTTCTGAATCATACTCAACGAGATCCTCGCCTGAATGAAATTCTGTATCCGTACGCGGACACAGAGCGAGCAAAAGATCTTATTGCTGAATACGAAACAAACAAATACAATGCTCAAAGAGCGCAGTTCTCATGTGATGGATTTTTACGGTATTTAATGAGTGCAGACAATCCAATAATGTCAGAAAACAAGCTTCAGTTGACAGATGATATGGATCAACCTTTAGCCCACTATTTTATTAACAGCTCTCACAACACGTATTTGACTGGTAATTATTATTTCTTCACATAATTAGGTACAGTTTAAGAATGTAAGAACCAAAGAAATCTAGTAGCACCTAGTAGTATTGAAAATTATAAGACACAATCTAACCCAGACTGATCCAACTCAAATACCTATAGAAAATGAAGTGATGAACACTAAATGGCGGTACGCTGAACCCATACAAGTAATTTTGTTTAAATAACTCACTAAATTTTATGAATTTTATATTTTGCTATTTTTTCCTCTCTCCTTTTTTTCAACATCACTGAAGTCATTGGGATAATTTTTTCAGGTCATCAACTGACTGGTAAATCATCCGTTGAAATATATCGACAGTGTCTACTAGCTGGTTGTCGGTGTGTGGAGTTGGATTTTTGGAATGGCCGTACTGATGAACCTGTGATAGTGCACGGGTATACATTTGTTCCTGAGATATCTGCAAAAGAGGTTATTGAAGCCATTGCGGATTCAGCATTTAAGACGTCTGAGTACCCTGTGATCCTGTCATTTGAAAATCATTGCAATCCACGCCAACAAGCAAAAATAGCGCAATACTGTAGAGATTATTTTCAAGATATGCTCCTTGAAGCTCCACTTGACTCGCATAAGGTATTCCTTTATAGTGTAATTTCTAATTATTTAAATTGGAATTATTTCTGCGACATTAATACATTTCCAGATTTTCTTTGTGAAATTCAGTTATTAAATACATTAACGTTTCTTGTTAGTCTGAAATTCTCCAACCCACAAAATTCTGTTGGGTTGGACTATAAAATGGACAGATCCTAAGTAAAATGATTAACTTAAAGCTTGCTTAGGAGCTATCCATAAAATATCATGCTNGTGGGGGGGGGGGGGGGGCTCAAAGAAATCGTTATGCCATGTTGTTGTGACATGTTAAATGACCTGTGGCCTGTGGCATAAAAGCAATACGACAGGGAGGGGCGTTAAAAAATCCAAAACAAATCCCCATCAGTTCATAATCATTATAATGAGATAGGTTTGAACTTGAAAACCAGGATGGAACATAATGTTAAGGATAAATGATACAAAGGCTGTGTAATCATAGCTGGTTGGCAGCAAAAAGTGAAACAGGCTTAGGTTGTAGAAATTCGAGGTTTAAGCTTTCGAAAAAAGTCAAGATAAATTTTCCCCCAAAAAATAAGGTTTCCTTTGACAGATCCAATTTCATATTTTTATTCACAATTTATCAGCAATCCATTAATGACCAAAATGGAACTTGATTTGTTTGTGCAAAGTATATTTATGTATTATGTAATATAGAAAACAATTGAAACTTAATCACTGCTGTGCATGCACTTTTTTAGCTTGAGCCTGGAGTCCACCTTCCGCCACCGTCGCTTCTCAAGCGTAAAATAATCATCAAGAACAAAAAGAAGCATCACCATCATCACTCTCATCATCACAAGAAACAAGCAGAGAACCCCGATAATGCAATGAACAATGGTGACATCACAGCAACTTTATCTTCAACTCACCAAGACAGTCAGGATTCCCAGCAAGGGCCTGTTGATGATGAAGGTAAGTTTTATAGAATAATAATAATAAGTTGCATAGAATAATAATTATATGACAATAAAAGTTATTTCGGGCGGATTTTAGGCACGCTTAGAGCTGTAATATTATGATGTAGATTATAATTTTATAGAAGGTAAGTTGTTTAATAGTCATTAGAAAGCATAGAAATGACACCGGTCTTATAGGTTAGTTCCAACAGGAAAAATAAATTTGACAATCAACTAATGTCAACTCGTGTCTAATTCATTTCCTTCAGACGATGAATTGAATTGAAATTATTCTAACACTTGGGTCTCACTAACTTCTTTTGTTCATTCCTGCAATATGATGTACCATTTTGCCCAGACTACGAAGTTAAGATGCGAATCGCACCATTTTGTATCAGTGGGTACTGGGTGTCATGAACAATCTTAATCTGTATGCCTATAAGTTCATTTTTACTTTTTGTTTCATTTTTCTCTCCCTGTAGAAGATGATGAGGAAAGCAGTAGTGGAGATGATGAAGAGGATCTAAGTGAAGTAGCCTCAACTGAGAAACCAGCTGCTGCTGAAAAAATTTCAGGATCCAAAGAAACACAAGCAGGAGCTGAAATTTCTGCTCTAGTCAACTATATCCAACCAGTTCATTTTACATCATTTGAAAACTCAGAAAGTAAGTATGTAGTAATTAATAATACTTGTTTTGATTGGTATTATTCCCCCCTTTTTTCTTGTATTATTAGTTTAGATGTCCTCTGTAAAGTCATTGTTTGTTTGTCAAGTGTGTCCAATGAAATTATCGAAGTCAAGATCTGAAAATGCTTTCTTGTTATGATGCTCTGGGTGGATACATGACTTTTAGAAGAGAGGACCTAGAAAATTATCAAGTTTAAGTGGCAAAATATTTAACAGTGGTATTTAAAGCCATAATTTGAATGAATCAGGAGAAGTTGTAAAAATTTAACGGGGCATGGTCCAGGATTTGCCTTCGAACCAGGTGTTCCTGAAGTTGAATAGGAACAAGTTCCAGGGATTAAGGAAGTTTAAAACAGCTTTTTTGACTGAAAGTAAAAGCTTTAAAGAAACAAACTATTTGCTTTGGCCTGAAGTTTATGTTGTCATATGAGGCAATGACACAAATTCTCTCGAACAAATCGTTTTCTTACAGTCTAGGTGATAACTAATGAGCCCTTTTTCGTTTTAATTTCCAGAAAAAAATAGGAATTATGAAATGTCATCTTTTGATGAAAAGCAAGCAACAACATTGCTGAAAGAAAGACCAATAGAATTTGTCAACTACAACAAACATCAACTAAGCAGAGTTTACCCTGCCGGAACAAGATTCGACTCGTCCAATTTCATGCCGCAAGTGTTTTGGAATGCTGGTTGTCAGCTAGTCGCTCTCAACTTCCAGACGTTAGGTATTAATGTTTTCTAACTAATTAGCTCTCCTACTAAATATCTGTGTAGAAAGACAAGTAAATAAAAGAGTGTGCTAGAAAATTCCCAATGGCTTAATGCATCATCACATATCAACAATGCCCTTTCATAAAACTAATGTTAAGATTGGTATTCTCCATTTACGTAAGAGTTTAATTGTTTCTGAAATTAATTATTCTTGAAGATTTTCATATTTTCTTACACTTTACCTGCCTTCCTCTTCTTAGTTCTGAATTTCCTTTTATCTTATACATTTTTTCCTGTATATTTCAGACCTTGCAATGCAGCTGAATCTAGGAATTTTTGATTACAATCAAAGATGCGGTTACCTTTTGAAACCTGAGTTCATGAGAAGGAGGGATCGAAGGTTTGATCCATTCGCAGAATCCACAGTAGATGGCATAATAGCTGGAACAGTTTCTGTTCATATTTTGTCAGCTCAATTTTTAACAGACAAACGTGTTGGTACATACGTAGAAGTTGACATGTATGGCCTTCCAGCTGACACAGTTCGTAAAAAATTCCGTACAAAAATCATTCCAAACAATGGTATCAATCCAATTTATGATGAAGAACCCTTCGTCTTTAAAAAGGTAAGAAACATTTCTGGAGAAAAAATGTTTTTCGCAAGGATCCGCATTTATGTTCTCATTTTCATTTTTTCGGTAGGTCCTACGTTGCGGGCTTTTGCTTTGACAATTGGACTTCATTTTGGAATTAGGAACTATAATTTCTGGCTCATTGGTAAAAATACGCACAGCCATGGGGAAACTAATAGTACATATATTGTTTCTAAACTAATTGTAAGCCAGAAGTTATAATTCGTAATTGCAAAATGAAGCTCAATTGTTGTCGATATTTGATATTTTGAGGCAAGGATGTGGGTCTAGTTTCACAAGGCCAAAGACACGATCCGTAAGATGAAAAGCATCGTGCTTCATCAATGGCTCCATCGTTTGTTTGATGCAAAAGATGGTTTATAAGTGCCTCTATTGAAGGTGTATCAAAATGTGTAGTGTTCTGATGTAAACAACAAAACCCAAGAATTTATTGCAGTGAAAATAATCGGATATAATTGACATTTCAAATCTTTGCTTGTCCATTCTCAAAATTTTCCTGTTGGGTGGGATAACTCAGGCAGAAATTGGCGAGTTTCAAACCATAGTTTCAGCTAATTGTCAAGACGTCAGATGACAGCCCTTTCTATTGGCTATGAATGTAATCAGTACTCTGCAATCGGTTTTTTGGAGAACCTGCCGAAAGTGCCTTCATTGTCCAGCCGTGAGACGCAAATGCACTATTCAAGGATTTGTTTATTGACTGCTTTGGCCTGGGGCGGCCAACATCGACGGATTCATTACGACCATGTTGGTAGTGAACAATTTGAGTTATTCAATGCTTGAGTAATTAATGAACTCACCATTTATTTCAGGTTGTGCTACCAGACTTGGCATCAATACGAATTGCAGCATATGAAGAATCTGGCAAATTCATTGGTCACAGAGTCTTACCTGTTGTAGGACTGTGTCCTGGCTACCGCCACGTTTCCTTACGCAATGAAGCTGGTCAACCCTTAGGCATGCCTACTGTTCTCGTCCACATCGTAGTTAAAGATTATGTTCCACATGGACTTTCTGATTTTGCAGAAGCACTGGCTAACCCTATCAAATTCCAGTCGCAGTTGGAGAAACGAGCTAAACAACTGGCTGTGCTCACTGATGATCTCACAGAATCCACCATGACATCAAATAGTAGCGGGTCTCCCTCTGCCAACCGCCAGGTTAGGCTTAATTTGTTTTTTTTTTAAACTACCATTTCCACTAACAAGCTGCATCTTATGATATTTAAGATTAGGATATTTATTTGAATCACAAAAAGTCAGTTTTCATTTGTCATTTCATAGAATCAGATCAGGATTTTTTGTTCATTTTCCAGAATATGAGCCAGGTGCTGGATTATTAAATCTACGTCCATATGATCAGAGACATAGCCCTACCTCAACCACGCAATATACCTTCTTTGGTGTCTTATCATGCTGTTTTAAACTTTCAATAATTGGCCTGCTGTTGGTCCGTAGGGTCTATATCTCCTCCTTAACTCATTTTTGGAATAACAGCTCGCTACTGTAACCAGAATTTGTTATGAGCATGACAAAATTTCTAACTTTGAAACTCAGTTAATATATCCCAAACTTATCCAACAAAATCGAAAATTGAGGCACTTAGCACTTTATTATGTACTCAGATAGAAACTAGCCAAAAATATTACTTACAATTCTCTAGTTTGCATACCAGTTAGTTTGCTAATTTTGATACTGGATGTAGGACATTCAATTAGTTTATTGAGGTATGAAACAGTTTTATTGACTCGACAATGATGTCTCTTGATTGTTGTAATGTGATTCGTTCGTACGTAACCATTGGATAATTTTTCATTTCAGGCGAGTGGAGATGAAAGCAGTTTATCAAAACAACAGCGATCCAAGCTCCAAAATTCATGCCCTGATCTCTCTCTACCAATCGTCGTTCCCACTTTGCAGAGGAAATCAATCGCTCCCTCGATGCTCATATCCTCATCTGAACAAGCAAGTGTTACAGATGAAGAATCTACCAACAGTTCAACGGCTCCTATGGAGTTGCCTGCAGCTCACCTGCTTCCGAATAAAACCTCCCCTAAATTTACTGCACAGCAATGTTCTTCTTCAAGTTCGTGTAAGTATTTAAGAATCAATCACAGATTATTAACATTGTTTATTTTTCAAAATAAAAAAATTTGACTTGGAAGATCCATCCCAAAAAATCGATGGTGAAACTGCAGAAATGCGCATCTTGGTTTCCGACACTGCAGACTTGGTGTCATACTTTATTTTCTACATGGTTAATAAATTACCAAACCTCATTTCTTGAAAACTTCGCCATTTTTTTTTATTTGTGTGTGGAATATTCTGCAAAAATTTCAAGTCATGATATTTGTTTGGCGTCCTTTTAAAAAATAAATTAAGAGCAGAGATTTTGAAACACTGCAATAGAAATCTGTATTTTTGCAGTTTCACCATCGAAATGTAGTTCTGCTCAGTTTGGTTTTCCTTTACTTTTTACATTCTTTTTCTTGAATGACAGGTTATTTACCTGAAGCACTTAGCTTTATGTTAAATATAATGAAATTCACTCCTTATTGTACGTTATTTTGCTTTTCTAGTTTCCGAAGAACTGGTTGCTGAACCTCTGGAAAAATTGATGGAGTACAAGCCTGTTCGAGAAAAAAGACTGGAACTTGAGAAAAAATTGGAGAGTTTAAGGAAGAAACATGAAAAGGTATCGTATTGCTTCCCAATATTCCTTTAGAGCTATTTCACCTTTCTTGTAAACAAGCTTTCAAGAGCAAGCAAAGAATCATTGTGGAAGTTACTGGTACAGTTTCCTCGATGCCGATAAACTACAATAAAGCCAATGCCATCAGGAACAGATGGTCATATCAGAATAGGTGCAGCAATAACTCTGTGCACTCCAAACTCTGTTATACTGTTGCCCCATATCAATGGCCAAAGTTCAAAACCAGGTACCTCTATCGCAGCGTTTAAAAATGTCCACTTCTATTTTATTTTTTCGAAGAGAAACAAGTTAACTTTTTAGCTTAAAATTTATAAAGATTGTTTCTGCTGGAGAAGAAATATCAGGAAAATTTTCAAGAAATTACGTTGTCTAGTTTTTGAAAGAAAGAATAATTAATCTTATAAAATTTGCAAATGGAGATCTGTGGTCTCGCTCTTCAGCCATTGATATGTTTGTCCTTTGGATTGTCGAGCCTGTAGTGTAGACATAAATGGTTTCGGTTCAGCTCTGAGAACTCAAAAATTCTAGTAGCTACTGGTGAGAGTCCTCTTATTATTGCTGCGTTAAATCAGAAGTGTTCTGAAGTAAGAGGGAAGTTTGTCCTCTACCAAAAACTAATCACTCAATTCCATGTGCTTTTGAAAAAAATTGGCGTTTGTTCAATGATAATCAAGAAATCTACGAAGAGACTGGATACACCACTATGTGCACGTGATTTCAATTTTAGAGGTTTAATTATTGAATCTATTTCTGTCTACTCAGTCTATTGTATAACTGTGAACCTATTTTACAAAGGTAGAATTCAAATAAAAATTGCCCGTATTTAAATAAAGAGCAGCTATCTCCATCATGACATGGGTGCAGAGACTGATGAGAATACATACATGCATGACAGAGCCTGTGTCGCGATGTAGCTTGTTTTCTTTGATCTGATTAATTCCGGTTGAATGAAGATCATTTTTTTGCATAGAAAAATTTCCAATCCCAAACCAGTATAATTAAGTACAAAGGCCAATTCTATTTTTTTTGTCGGTGAATAGAAGTTGAACTGCAACCTATGATTCAGAGCTTTGACTCGTTCAATGTTTCTTCCAACTTATTCTCTCCCTTCTCTAATTTATGATTATTTTCTGGCAGGAGAGAAACAGACTCACAGGAGATCCGGAGAAGACGAAAAGTAAATTTCATATGGGCAATAGGCTAGTCAAAAGGTTATCAAATAAGAATATGTAAGTATTAATGCAACTTCTCTTATTAGTTTTTTGCCAGACAAACCCTTGTACATTGTTTGGATTACCTCTTATATTGATATCACTACTGTGAAATCACGGCTGATGATCTTACTAATCTAGCTCTCATATATTGATCTTACTGTCAATCCACCAGTAGAGCTATTTTTCAATCGACTACTCAAATCTTATTTCCATTGATCAGTTGAGGCGACTGTCAATCAACCGGTCGAATCTGTTATCAATTGACTGATCAAATCTTTTGTCGGTCAACCTATCGAATCGGTTGTCGACCTGGTTGATACCAGGTCTGTGAATCAGTTGTTCATCAACCCGTTGCATCTTCTGTTGACTATCTTAGCCAAATTGTTGGTCAATGTACTAGTGGAATGGACCGGTGATAGCCCAGTTAAATAACCTGTTGAAAAACCTGCCGAATCGACTGTTGATAGACCCGCTGAATGGGCTGTTCATTGACCTCTCAAATCTTTTGTCAATTATTCAGCCATATTTCCTGTCTATGGATCAGCGGTATGCCTGTTAATGGATCAGTGGTACCGTTATCTGTTGATAGACTCATAGACTGTTGATGGACCAGTCAAATCAACTGTTCTTAATTTGAATCTCTATAAGAGGATATTTTGTTCATCGTTTACCATAAGCCTGCGCAATCAAGAGATAAATTAATCTAAATGGAGGTTTTGACCAAAGGTCAGAGAATGTCAAAGAATTTGGAAATTTTGGGGTCAGGAAAAAACAAAAAAAATATCATTGAATCGGAAAATGAAAAAAATTTCCATGGAAATCAAATTTTAATTTTATACTTCCTGCCCCGGATAAAAGCATTTGTAATTCTTCCGTTTAAACCTGACTATGACCTATTCTCTAAATCACTCGACTTATTGTAAGATTTCCTCAAGAGTCTTTCTTAAACTTTTGATTTTTCAGTCATTGTAATGAAATGACTTTTCACTAATTGCGCATGTTTCTCTATGATTCCAGCATTCCACTAACTGCTGAGCATGCTCAAAGCGTTGTTGAGGCTCATGCCGAGACCTCAGAAACTGAAGTAGAAAATACAAGATTGCCAAGAAGTCAATCAGAGCGGCTTTTATCAATTACAAAAGACCACGTAAATCAAGAAAGGGAACTGGAAGAAAAGTACCACAACTTGGTAAGGTTTTAAACTGTGGAAATTGGAAAAAGGAAATTTAATGTTTCTTTCATTCCAATATCTGATAAAACTGATCCATCCTTTTAGCAATCCATATTTTCATTTGATCTCCGGTATACTGGAGAGAATCAGTTTTCTGATCATTCAAAGTCTGTCAGTGTTATCATTTGCTCTTTGTGGCCTGATTTCTTGGCAAATTGAGATCTAGTTATTTTCCTTTCTTCGGAGATGAACTTTAGGTTTATTAAGTCTGAAAAGTGACTCTTAAGTTGAGTACAGGCTCCAATTTCTTTAATCCTCTCATTGCCAAGCCCAAGAATTCTTGCACTGCAAAGAGCTACTGCTATTAACCAGAGGCAAAAATTGTCATGTTGTGCCTTGCATTAACATCTCCTGCTCTAGCGTCCAGGTTCACTATGATTGTATTTGACGTTCTCTAATTTCCCCCCAGGCTTATCTTTTTTTCAGAGGAAACCAAGCAGCATAATGTTCCGAATCTTTCTGTGAACTCCTTCTAGATTATGAAGTAAATCCTAAAATTTAAAAGTAGAGTGTCGATTAGTTTATCAAAAAAATAGATCATGTAAGGAATTTCAACAACTTGAAATGTACTTAAGCTGATTTTGATCCAACGTCCAATCATTTTTATAGTATGGCGTAAGACAAAGGTTTCTGAAGGGAGTTGAAGTTTTTTTAAAAATAATTTATCATTCACTGTTCGTTTTAGATTTTCGCAGCGCTGGAAAAATCAATGCGTTCAAGCCAAGCTAGTCAACTGAAATTCCTAGGAACGATGCTCGAGAAAGAAACGGAAGATGTCATGAGGAAGTTACAGTCAGTGCGCCGAGACGAAGTGAAACAGTTATCGAAAGTCCATCGTGACAAGGATGAAATGATACGGTGAATATTATATCTTGGAATAGTTCTTAATTTCTCATAATTCCTCACCTGATCTTGTAATTTTTGTAACACACAACAACCTCTCATAATTTTATTTGATTTGAGGGTTTTTTTTTTATATTGAAGTGCTGTAATTTTGATTTTTGTGCGTTTCCCATCAGCGACTCAATGACAGCGTTTAAATTTAAAGGATATATGGATGGAGTTCTTAAGAAATGCATCAAGTTTCATCAAGCGAGATCAGAGAAGAAGAGATTTGGAGTTTCAATTCTCCATAAGACATGATAGGAACCAAGTTTAGTGACTACTTTCATGTCCAATGTTTTTCTCGACTTCGAATTTTTGACAGGAGAAAATTTATAGAAGTTGAATATAAAACTACTCCCAGCTAATTCTTTTTCCAAAATGTGACTTGGTTTTTTTTGTTGAACTTGGTCCAAATATCAACGTTGTGTAGTCTGTCTTCATTCATTTGAAATGAGGGATGAAATCTTCTGCTGTTCGACGATTTTGACTATTTCTCCCTCTGCTCATTGCTTACTGTTAGTATATCCATGGCCAAAGTGCAAAACCACATATCTCAGTTTGCGACACTGCAGACTTCCTGTCATACTTTATTGTTTCTTTGGAAAACTAGTAAATGTAATTCCTTCAAAACTCTTTTGATTTTGTTCTCTGATAGTAGAATACTCAGATAAAATTTAAGCAATAAAGGTATATTGTTTCTCCTCAAAAAAATTAAACAGGAGCTGAGATTTTTAAATACCACAAACAGGATACGTAGTTTTGGAGTTTCACCGTTGATATATAGCTTTTTCATTAATTTTTTTTTCTCTATTCTTTCAAAATTTTTTTGTGTCCATCAGTATGTGTCATATTCTTGCTCTTATTTTTCCAGCATCAAAAGAGAAGTTGCAAGTGCTGTTGTCGAAAAAGGTGTTTCAGAAAGAGTTCGTTTATCTCAGCTTTATGAGAAACGAAGAGAAGACCTCGAAAAACAACATCAGCTAGTGAGACTGAGTTTTGAAGAAGAAAAAACCAAGGTAAGAGGACCTTGTTTTTAGTCAGGTGTATAATTTACCACAAATTCATAAGAGGATATGAATTATTTACCTATCTGGCAATTTACTGAAATCATCCAAGTCCAGTTCTTTTATCTCAGCAAAATGCCGTGAAAAGATTATCTAGGCAAAATAGATAGAAGAAGAGAAAAGAATATGGTATTTCAGCATGTGAGAGTGATAGTATTTGCTCATCTTGATTAATTTTGTCGAAGACAACATTCTGTTTGGATTAGTTAAATTGCAAAAAAAAGTTGGCGTGCAAGCTCCTATATTAATAGACGCCCTGAAGTGGAATTATGTTTTCTTGTCCTGAAAATACTCTACCAGTCTGTAATCTTCCTCTTATACAATCTTAATGTATTTGTTTCAGGCAAAGAATGCCTTACTCCAAGAATACCAAAGTAAATTATCTCGGTTCGAAGAAGAATCAAGTGGGTTGTAATGGATATTTTTGTTTAGACAACATTCCCTTCGCATTATTCCTTAGCTATTTATTCTATACCAAAGGTAAGTCTTAATTTGAAGTTCCAGGAAGTTCTTTCTTTTTCTGACTCTAAGTTGCAGGTTTTTCACAGTCGATATGTTCGTGTACCATAAGTCTTTGTTTTTTTCACCTCTGCTTGGACCCAACAAACGGTCTTATCTGCAAAATTGCTGAAGGTGCTCATTTTTTTTACTTTCTATTAAAACTGAATTATTATCTCCCTTTCTCATATTAATTCTTCTAACTTGATGACTGAATTTGGAAATCATGTAAATTAATGTTGATTTTTCACAATTTCTACTCCTGCGTTATTTTTTACAAGCAGACTTTTTTTTATCAAAGTTTTCACAGATTATTTTTCAAACAGAGCGGACAAATTTCAGAAATTTCTAAAAAAAACTACTTTAATCAGAAATCAATTGAAAAAAAGAATGACAGGCAGTGTGATGGTGCAAACCTATATATGTGGTTTCCAAGTATAGCCATCAATATATGTCCTGGACAAGTCCAGCGTTTCATGTCATGGTTGTACTCCTATGTTTTTCTGCTTCTTGAACTTACAATCTCTCCATTAAGATTACCAAGAGATGACATTATTAGCAGCTAATTCAAGTTTCTACGATGGTTCTTCAAAATACCAGATCATAAAGCGTAATAAGAAGTGAGCATTCAAGTAAGAATTTTTCTTTGTGTTTCAGAATTTCCTGTGAATAAATGAATTCATCTAGAGCAATGACTCTTTGATTTACCTCTACAAATAGAGAATAGTTAATCTGCTTATAATTTCTGAAAGGAACAAGTTTTGTCCAGGACCAGCCTCATGATTGTCTCTTCTTGTCTGATGATGTATTTTATCTATTGTATTTTTTAGTTAATTTTGATGAAAACTGTGATCAAATTTAATAATAGCGCAACAATATCACAACTTATTGCTGAAATTATCAAGCAGTCTAGAATGGTTTGTTGTATGTATGATAAATTACCACAAAAAAATTCGATTGCAACAAGATTTCCTCAAAGAATATGAAAGAAAATATGTTCATCTTGCGTCTAAGGATTGAGCGCAAAATAGTTAAAGGGTGATAGTGAATGTTTGAATGCTTCTTTTCTGCTACGTGCTAATATTTTTTTGTTTCCTTTTCTGCAGTTCTGTAAATAAATTTTGCATACAGAATAAAAAGAAAGTCTTTGAAATGCTTTCCTGATAACTTCTCAATAAATATGTAAGCTCACCCTAAAGAAGACCAGTCACAATTAAAACCAGTGGAATTTTTGAAACTCCTATTTGTAACAACAATTGATGCTCCAACAAAATACATCACCCGGCCTTGTTATCCTATAACATGTATAACATGTAATCAGATTCCTATCGGTCAGCCATCGCTAACATCACTCACCCTGTCCATGCCACACTTTGAACTTTCATGTCAAGTGATTAAATTGTGATCTCTCCTTTCATTTTCCCTTGATGTTTACATAACTTAATTTCTAATTCTTAACTTGGTCCGTACTTAATCCCAAGTTTAGCTATGTTTGTTAACCTCAAAAATAATTTTTATCACTGTAGCAAAAGCCCATGTGTTCCAAGTCATTTCTTCATGTTTGCAGTAGTTTGTGATTGAACTAACGGGGTTTCTCCATGTATCCGTTTTTCTTATGCAAATAACGATCTTGTTAATAGTCATACAGCCATTGTAAGTGCTTCAAAGTTATGTTCAAATATGAATGAATGTATGTATGAAAAATCCTATCTTTTTCTCTTATATTTGATGTAAATCTCTGGCCAGGAGGGAATAGTATAGAGTTATGAAAGTGGTAAAACGTAACTGACATTAAAACCTTGTTCCTCACTCGTCAAACTCATCCTGACCGCTGAGTGGCATCTTTACATTCTCGAGGAAAAATGATCCATAATGGCAAAACCACCCTCTCAGCATAAATGAATCTATATTGAGCACATAAATAATATGTACATTTGTATCATACCTTTCAGAGAGGGCAACTCTCATTACAATTGACTTTGTAACTATTGCGCAGCATTTGATGTTCTATCACATGTTTTGCTGTATGTTTTGTGGCATGGAGGTCATTAAATGCCATAACACCACAGCAGTAAAATGTTTCATAAATTAGATTGACATGTATTACTAGTTGCCTTTTTTCTAAACATTGCCCCGAAAAGAGACAAATTTTAAAACTTTCAATTTTATTTTCAAAATTTCTGTTTTTGGTTTGTAATGGAGGTATTCCGGCTCTTGAAGTATAGCATTTCATAAATTTAGCCTCACTAAAAAAAAAAAAAAAATCAGAACAGGGGAAAAGGAAGTGATTAGGAGCATAATAGGTCTGTCATCATAGCTTCGAATTTAAATCTTCATTGTAGGATTAAATGATGTTCAGCGTAATTTGATAGTTTTTCAGGCTTTTTAAAATGTGTGTACTTTTTCCCTTTTACCTGTACCTTGTTTGTATAATTAATTTTTAACTGTAAAATTTACCCAAGACAAGTTGGTTTCTTTCTATTGATCCTAAGCAGCTGATGAATTTTGCTCATTTTAAGTACTTCACAGCTAAATCTACCCGACGTTCTTAGCGAAACTGTTCAATAATTTTCCTATTGTTTAGTTTTTATCAAGGATCATCACCTTTGACTGTATTCATGATCCCTGTTCGTGTGATATTTTCTTTTTCTTCTTACGTTCCCCCTTTTTTTTATGAGCTGTATCAACCCATCGATTTGCCTCAGATGATAATTTTTTCTTCTTTTTTGTTTATATTGTAGTAGTGATTCTGAAGGTGACCTGAATGAGCGACCAATTATTCTTCATCGTTCCGGTATTAAAATGATTGTTCAAATTACATTCCGAATGATGCCATTCTGGTGAGCGCTTAGTTTAATCAACATTTTGAAAAGCAATGACTATTGTTGAAATTTCAATACTGACTGATCAGGGGAGGGGGAATTTTTTTTGTAAAATTATATCTAAAAACTAATTTAGCTCCCACCAATAGTGCAGTTTTTTACCTCTCTGTTATTTAATTTAAGTCATCAGTGGTCAATCAATTCAGCAACGTGAATGAATTTGATTAGAATTTGAATCTACTGTAGAGTTTGTTTTATTTATTTGTATGAATGATATTTTAGCATCTTTTTTTTCTCCTTTGGGTTGTTTCCTCATTTTTAGAGATTGTATGTTACAATAACTGATATGCTAAACAGTGTTCGTTTTGAAGAAGAGTGGTGATTTCAATCCATACAGCTAGTGTTAGTGAGGCTTTTTCCCGAAACCCTCCTATATTAAGATTTGTTGGTCCCCCAAATCCATATAAATTGTTTCTAATTAGTTTTTGTTAGGTACAAATGCTCACACCAGATGCATCTCTTGTTTTGTGTGTTTTCTCTTATTATTAATCTATCATTCTCGTTATTGGGTATGTTCATTCCCTAGGAATGTGTAGTTTCTGCCCATCTTCAGTAATCTTGTAAAAATTAGACCGTTTCTAGGAGTTAGGTTTACCATAATGCAGGTTTAATATGTAAGTGTTGATGTTATTATGTTACCAAATGGGTCAGTAGACACAATTAAGGCACCCGTATCACATTTCATTTGAAAAATTTCATTTGAAAAATTTTATCTGGAAAACTCATAGTATCAATGCAACAGTACCTTGTTTGTACCCAAACAAGACATTGATCACGGATACAGAAAATTCTGGTGTGTGGGAGTAAGATTTTTCTACAATTGCGTCTAGACAGGAATTTTTTTAGTTAAAACGAAGTTTTTAATTTTTTGAGAAGTGTGAAACTTAAGGCTTAGACTGTCACTCAGTTAAACCCCGAGGGATGTTCTGCTTACTCTGAATCAACATTTGTAGCAAGAATTAAGTTGTTAATATCATGGTCTTTCTTTGATGTCGGATGCTGAAATTAGGTGAAAAATTGAGAGTCGACAAAGTTGACCTGACATGCTCCAATGTGAATGACATTTTTGTCTTTTCGAAAAAAAAAAAAAAAAAAATTCGTCTGAAGTTTGAAAATCACCAGAGCCTCATAGCATAAGTAAACTTTTTGCTCTCATGATGAGAATGAAAATATAGTTCAAACCTAATTCAGAGCACTCGACCACTCTCTGGTGTCCCATAACCTACTCCTTTTAGAGCTGTTTTATCAGTTGTCGGTAAGCTACCAAAACATTTCCGTCTAGAAAAAGTTACGCCAAGAGCGCTCTCATCAATAGCGATCTGAGTATTCAGAGCTGACGAAAATAAGCTGTTGCCATGTGTACATCTGGCGTGCCGCCACGCCAGGCAATCTGACAAACTGGCACACGGGGCACCAATGCATTGAGTGCGAGCTCTTAAAACTCCGATGAGGCGGGCTGTTAACGATATCATCACCACTGTCGGTACTGCCAGCAGTTTTGGTAAAAGACGATACTGATAGCATTCCGGCAAGAATTCGTTTGAATACCCCTATCTTCTTTTTCACATTTTTTCAACTCATTAGTGTGAAACACTTCATTTGAGTATAAATGTTTCTTGTAAGTATGAAGTGACGCTTGCTTCCCTCTTGCTTGGAAGTAGGAACAGAAAACGGAGACTGCACTTGCTGTTCTTACAACCAAGATTAACTCATTTTTTCAGTCTCAAAGGATATTTTATATCTTTTCGAAAACAGAATCAATGTAATAATTTGATTCGTTTGTTGTTGGTTTATTTTTCCTCAAAACTGCATTTGTAGGTAGATCTTATTTGCTTAATAACATCCGTATTGATCATAATACTTTAAAATTTTGTCTACTGGTCCAGTGCCCGCTAGTGTGCCTAACAAAGGGTTCGTGAGATTAGCTTCCTTCACTCCTTGTAAAGTTGAGTTGAAAGCTGTCTATACTCTGTAAAAATCTGTTGAATTGAAGATGAGATTCATCTCATTGTCTTGTTTTTCTAAATCTCCGAAATTCTAGTCATTTGTGGGTCAGTTTGTGATGTTTTAGAGGTATTTTAATTTATTAGTTATCATTTTATCCATCAGGGAAATTCATTTAAGAAACAAAAGAGCAGTAAAAACTAGAAACCTGTCACTGTTAGAATTTAGCAGTAAAAATAAGTTTCTACCAACTAACATCATTAAAAATGGCCTGGGCATGGCTTTTCTGATGGAGAGGACTTGTAAAAACTAGTTCTGACCCAAGAATTGCCAGATAACGGGTAATAACTGCACCCAAGAAAGGAGTTGGGCTATTGTCTTATAAGAGGAAGTGGGCGCTGCCCCAAAATTCCTCTTGGAAACGTGCAAGCCAAACAAGAGAATCTGGATTTTGAATGGCAAGCTCAGTCTGTTAGAATTCTGCACGTTTTTCCGCCATCCCAATGCCAAAGTTGAAAAACTACACAAAAAAACTATAATTTTGTTCATATAGTAATTTTTAAAAGGATACTCTCAACTGTTTTATAAGGCACATGCGTGCAGATCATCAATACTGAAATTAATGTAAGATGATTTGAACAAGTTGTTTTTTCTAACTGGAAACATGGTGATCTGAACTAATCTGAACTTGGAGTCTTGATTTTCTTTTCTAAAGTTGATGTACAAGTGCCCACTTCCTTATAGGTTCCTCAGTTTGAACTATCGCCACAACAACTTTCTCTTGAGTCTCATGAGTCGATGAAGTTCTGAAGATTTATCAGCACTCTATTACCCTTGTAAATATCTGTGTCTCTAAATTAATTTAGTGGTTGTAATATTCATGTAGCAATAATCTTTGCCTTGGATAATAGATTTGCTTTTTTCAATTGTGAGCTGTGGCTTTTGAGTATGGCATTTTGGCACACATATAACGTACTTACTGTCATATTCTGTGTTTGAAGAAGGAGTATGTAGCATTCTTTTATCTAATTTTAACTCTTTACAAAGAGCTTAGTGTTTAATCGATCAGCAGTGGCTTAATATTCTGAAGTTAGTAATCTCTGATCCCAAGAAGACTTTTCAAAATCACAAGCTGTTTTTGCTTCACTCTAAGTTAGAGTAAACCATTTTTGTATCAAAAGTGACTGATTTTGCACTCTAAATGCAGCTGAAACTGTGGAAGATGAAGTAGCGCTTCAAGAGAATTGTCTCATTTAAGAGCATCGCAAAGGTGTGCAGTCCAATCAATGCTTGAATTGATGTTGTTTAATTTAAAAGCATTTTTTTAAAGGCTCTGACTGAAAAAATAGGCAACACTTGATAAACAAGTTCCTTAAATGATTGTATTTCCATTTGAATTGAAGTAATTATCTGTTTTAAAATATTGAAGTAGTCAGGCTTGCAATATTACGATCCTCAGAATAAAAAATAGGGACTTAACTAAGCAGGCATATTGTTCAGTTCTCCAGGAATGACGTTGATAGTTCGAGTTTAATCAAGTTTATATTGTCTGTATGCAAGCCATCATTTTGTCAATATCTGACTATTAGGCCTGTCCTTCAAACAACCTGCGTTTTTGTATGAATTGATTTAATGATGCAGTGAATTGAATTTGACCTTTCTTCTCTCAAGTCACTTAAATAAATTATAGAATTAAGATTGTGCAATACTTCAAACTCTCTCCAAAAGTAAGTTTTGATTTATGTTCAAATGTGATTAAAGTGATTTTAGTTTTTAGAAATAAGCCATCCACCTAACTCTTCTCAAACAACTTACCTCTATTCTCCCAAGATCAATTGCGTTTTGTTCAAGGAAATTTTCCTAAAGGTAGAAACTTTCTTCTGATTCCCTAAATTGAACTAAGCAATTTTTCAGATTATGAACTCCTCAAAATCTCAGGTTTTTATCTTTCGGGCAGGCCTTGAGTTTCCTTTATATTTACCCAGTATGTCACAGATTGTTGGATTTTTCCTACAAAAATATTGAAGTTACTCAGTATCGTACATACATAATTTTTATTGTTGAAGTTGAGGGTAGTTGCTAGGTTTATATTTAATGTTTACCTCAACATGTTTTGTATTTAGATTTTCCCTCTTATTGTATAGTACATATTATCAAATCGATGAGTTCTATCTCCTCCTTGCCATCAGATGGAAACCGGGACATAATTCGAATCATGATTATTTAAGAATCTAATATCTGCTCAGATTGTCTATTTAGTTCTTCGACATTCAAAATGTCTGGTGCTGTTATGAACTCGTATTCCTGTTGAAATACTAATGTGTTTAATCCTGTGAACCCAAGAATCCCATACATTGTAGGTCGCTTGTCATTTCTTCTACTCTCTGATCTAGTATTGTTGGTAATTAGATGATTTATTAGTCCTGATGACCAACTTTTTTACCATTTTTTTGGGTCCTAAGTCAGAGAATCCAAAAATGTATCACTATCCAATAATTTTCACTAGAAATGCAGCTCACAGCTGAAAATTCAGTCAATACTAGCCAGCGAAACTTCAGATCTTTGCTTAAGAAGGGTTTCTACTTTCAGATTATTGTCAGCTTAAAAATTTCAGCCTGTAAAGTAGGCTATTTCAAGCATTTGTCAGCAGACATGAGCTTGAATTTAAATTTAAAATACTCGTACATTTTCAATCCCCTGATACTGATTCATTTTTACTCTCCCTTGTTCCATTTTCATAATTCTAAAAAGTATGAATTTTAATTCAAAGATTGAAATTCATATAACATATGCTAGAAAGAAGGTTCAAACCGCAACTTCCATTCAAGTGTCTGATATTTTGCTGTAATTCTAGTGAAACCTGACCCTAACCAGTGATGTCAGTTATTCCTTCAAATCAAATTTTGTTTTTAAGTTGCAGCCTCCCTCCTAATTTTAAGTATTCCTAGTAAAGACAATCAAAGTTGAATGTATCAATACATATTAATAAGTAAAATTGAATTATCTTTTCTTCTTTTTTTGTCTTGTTTTGTAATTATTGCTTGAGTTTCATTTTTTTGTTTGATAGGATTGAATCAATTTATGAGCTTGTTGTCTTGACAAATGTAGATCTCATAAAAAAGATAGTGCAAATTGATCACAAGTGAAACCAGGAAACCTTTTCAGTTATCAGAACCAGATATTTGTTTCATTTGCACTGATACTCTCGTTTTACAAGACCATCTAGGTCAAATTGGAAGAAGTTTTTTTAATCCAACTTTTTGCCCATTTCTTATCTTTTTTCCTAATCTCAAGAATCAACAGGAACTTAGCCAGGAACAGGACTGGGAATTTGCTGCATCTTCTATTGCAGGAAAAGGTTGATTTAAAATTTTCTCAATTTAACCCTTTGTTGCATGAGGGAATCGTTGATTTTGGAGAGAAAATCTACATTGTACAGTATTTTTTTGACACTAGAGTCGGTTGGAATCGATTTTTATGGTTTTTTCTAAGCAAGGAGATCAGACTTCTAATGTTCCCCAAAAATTATTTCTTGCTTTGATTCAATTTAATACTCTAGCATAGAAATAAAGCTGAAAAACATTTGTTGCTTTCACGCAACACTATGCAATAAAGGGTTAAGTACCTATGTAGAAAAAACAAAAACAAAAAAAACAAAAAAACAAAAAAACAAAAAAAACACGAAGAAACGTTGCCCAAACCGTAACTCGTAAGTATGTAGTATCTCTTAAAATTGCAATATTTGTCAAGGCAACGAATTGAAAAAATTGTTATCATCTTAGCTCGTAAAATGGACCAGAAAGATTTCAAAGGAATGGCCAGGTCTCCCCTACCATTCATTACACCTAACTATTTCACTTAAAATTACTGTGAAGATTTTTCATAAAGTGTATCAATCGCTTTATTCAGGGTCCGAATTTTGTTGATAGGTTTGCGGTCAGCCGCAAGTTGAGGCAAAAGTATCAACTTTGTTATTGGATGGATGATTAATGGTTTGCTCCGTTGGGGAACTGAAGATGGCTCTTGCCTGCTGGAAATGACGTTCAACTTGAGTTCAGAATAAAAGTCTCCCAGCTCATAGTCGAATTTAGAGGTCAGGTTTCGCAACTTGCCATCACTTGTAGGCAACAAAATTCAGGCCAAGAGATTTTTCAATAAAAAAAAGAAAAAAAAGTGAGGTTAGATTCAAGAGTCTCGTCTTTTTGAACAATTCATCCGTATTTGAAATTAGTTTTGAACAAGTTAAAAAATGTGCGAAAAATTAGTCCATTTATGACCTCAAGATTCTTGATGTGAAATAGACTCCCTAAAATAACTGTTGGTTTGTAACCTCTATCATGATCCAATCAGAATAAAGTCTGAAAATGAATAATGTTAGTTTTGTTAAAAAAAAATGTTGGTCCATTTTACCGGCTTTTCCCTGATGTTACTCTATGTATTTAAATGTGCGCTGTTTTCTTTGAGATGTTAAGTTTTTGCAGCTTTAGCAATTCACTGTAAAAAAATTTGACTGAGCAGATGTCTGCAGCTGTAAAACACTGGGTCATCCTTGTAGTTCACAGCTGAAAGTCATTGAGCAACATCTGTCACCAATTGGAGCTTTGGAATGAACACTTATCAGTATCATAAATTTGATAAGTTCCCAGTGGAATTCGTAAAGAAAAATATCTTCTGTGGATACTGAATCCTAGTTAAACGAAACTACTTAAGACTCCTTTGAATGCCAATCTTTACGGGTCTTTAACTTGACAGTAGATAGATCTATTTTTCAAATACAATTTTGGCTTCCATCATTTGCCAAATGAGTCTATCTGCATCTATGAATTTCTATGTTTTCATTCAGAAGCATTTTCCAACTTTTTATTACTCTCTCGCTCCCCTTGTATATTTTTGGTTTGGCTTCCAATTTGTGCATCGGTAATGTATAATGAAGGAAGAATTGAGCAATTTTCAAACGTATTCTTTTGCCCTTTCACCAGATTTTAAATCTAGACGGATTGGAAGAAAACGAACAAAATAAATAAATACAGTATGTAAATTTCTTAACTGCTGTCGATATAAGAGCTTGCCGAGCTGAGAACAGAATTCTAGGAATACTTCTCTTTTTATGGTTTCAATCTACCTCTGAGCTCTCCTGTTCAAATGGATGTATCCATAGTTTATATTTACAAACCCCATCCGTTCATAATTTGCTTAACAATGTATTTTACTTTTATCGACATCTGCTCAGCTTGTTTTGCTCATTTCCATTTCTTCGTTTTTAGATTCTTTTTATTTTACTAAGAAAAGGCTGTGTTTTCGTATGAATTTTTTTTTTGTCCTTCTGTTATATATATTTATTGCTCGAGTAACATCCTCCTAATGAACCCCCTAATTCGTTTTTTTGTACTTGATGGTGCGCATTCTTTTAAGTTTTTATTTTTTCCCCATTGATTTATTTTTTTTCTATTGTTAATTTACGTTGAATCAAAATAGGTTTACAGATTACATTGCATTATCTCATTTTTATATGTAAATATTTTCAGCAATAAAAGTAAACTGATAAAAATGATGAGTATGTATCTAATTTATTCTTATTATTTATGTGTTTTAATTTGTTCTAATTTCTATTTTCCATCGAGTGTTTAATCACAGTGTCGAGAACTACACCTTTTAACCAGATACTTTCTTTACTGATTCCCAAGAGAAATCAAACCTGTTTAAATTATGTTCAGTATTCTGCTTGAGGACTTTCTTTATCAAAAGAGCAACCCTTGATACCTTATTTCTTTGCAATAAAGACATTTTTTTTCATTTATTATTGAATGATGCGAATAACATCTGAATCAGGTTTCAAGATCTGAACTGAGGGGCTTGGAGGACAAGGCGCAAAACTGCAGTAACTATTTTTAAAAATTGAGGTATTAATGATTTCAAGTAGAACTAGTCTTAATGCATATTCTGTGAAAAATTTGCTCCCAAATTCCAATTTTTAAGCATCCAAAAGTCAGTTTGAACTTTCCTTCCCCCTTAAGGATTCATGTAATTTTGAAACTTCATACACGTATCTCTCAAAATGGCTTAATCTGCTTGTATGCGCCTTGTTCTCCAAGCCCCTCAATTCTACTTGAACTTCCGTCTCCTTTGCAGCAAAGATATGGAATTCTAAAATTTAAATACTTGCATCGGGGAAATTTGTTTATTTTCCAAAACAAATCAGCTAATTTAAAAAAAATTCAGATCATAGGCAAGCTGACCAAATTTTTCTTAGATTGATTTCTCTGATTTCCTTTAACCCCATTATTTTTGAAAGAACTAAAGAAGGAAATCAACTTTGCCTAAAATTTGGTGTTTTTAGGACCGATATAAGTGAGTCCAGAAAGAAAGAGACTTCTCCACAAATATACATAGAGTGCAATGAGTTTTGGTTAATATTTTCAACTTTCAAACAACGTTTAGCTGATGGAACAAAATGAAATTTCAGGAGAGGTGGAAATCAGTGAATAAAGAAGCAAAAGACTGCACATTTTTCATGACCATTCATTTAAATTTATTACAAAAATAAACAATAAAAATTCCAAAAAATGCCAAGCTGTGCAAAAATATTTTGTACTCAGTTATTTACAATGATTCGATTACGATCAGGGTTCGTGGCACCTTAAGAAATCCTCGAACATACTTGAAATTATTTTTCAAATTTTCAAGTCCTTGAATATTGGTGAATGTTGAGAAATCAACAAATTATATAAAAAAAGTCCTTACATTTCATGAATCTGGTTATTTTTTTAGAACCAGTCGGAACATCTGCAGTTTCCCTCTGCCACAGAACATTCTAATATCCGCAATATCGATGGTGAAAGTGCGAAACCATGCATCTTTAACTGTGACATTGCAGACTTCCTGTCATACTTCATTTTTTCTTTGCCAAGTTACTTTGCTTTTAAGTTACTAAGTAATGTGATTTCTTTACGATTTCCCTGATTTTCCTTTCCTTTTAGCAGACAATCTGTAAAAATGTCAAGCTATTTAGCTTGCTTATTTCTCTTCGAAAAAGTAAAGAGAAGTAGACATTTTGAAACACTGCAATGGAAATATGTAGTTTTGCACTTTGGCAATTGATGTAATGTTATCCGTCAGTCTCACATTTGCTTTGGTGTACATAAGTAACAGATAATAAATAATAGTACAAGAAGCTGAAACTCTCATAAGTAGGGCATTTCTGAATGCTTCTGAAAGTTTTTGTATGTTCTTGAAAATCCTTTAAAATTATTTTCGGAATTTTTAAAAAGTTCCTAGTTTTATCTTCAAAAAACTATCATAAACCCTGATGAAGGTAATTAATACCTTAAAAACAAGTACACCAGGGTGTCTTCGGTCAGAAAAAACCGAAAAATATCAGGAAAATCGATTATTTATCAGGAAATACAAAGGGTTGTCAAGCATTTCTCAACTACATGCAGTTTAGCACATACAAATGTAAAACATCTGATCTGATTCATAGAATATTGAGATACTCTTCTGCGCATTTTGTTTGCGGTCTTTAAAAAGCTCCGCTCCTATTTTATTTTTTTAAGGAGAGCAAATCAACATTATTCCTTGAAGTGTTCAGAATTTTCCCTCTACAGAGAAGAAGAATNAAAACTATCATAAACCCTGATGAAGGTAATTAATATGGGACAATTAATACCTTAAAAACAAGTACACCAGGGTGTCTTCGGTCAGAAAAAACCGAAAAATATCAGGAAAATCGATTAGTTATCAGGAAATACAAAGGGTTGTCAAGCATTTCTCAACTACATGCAGTTTAGCACATACAAATGTAAAACATCTGATCTGATTCATAGAATATTGAGATACTCTTCTGCGCATTTTGTTTGCGGTCTTTAAAAAGCTCCGCTCCTATTTTATTTTTTTAAGGAGAGCAAATCAACATTATTCCTTGAAGTGTTCAGAATTTTCCCTCTACAGAGAAGAAGAATCACAGAGGTTTTTAAGCATTAACGTTGAGTCGTTTTCCACTGACAAAATAAAGTATGGCAGGAAGTCTGCAACATCGCTAGCTGGTATACATGGTTCAGAAGGTATACCATTGATATGTTGATATGTAAAATCAAACTAGTTTCAATTTATTCGAGTAACAAAATTTGAAATTTCATTTAAAATATCAGGTAAAATAAAAAATTATCAGGAAAATTCAAAATGAAATGATAGACACCCTGTATATCTTAGGCGCCAGATACACCTACTTGCTAGATGCACTGATAGGAGCCAAAATTAGGATCTGATCCTATACTTTGCCGGCGAGTTACTGGTGGCAAGCTGCAACCTGACTGACTACAGATATTGCCATATCTGGCAGGGGGCCTACTCGCCGTACTACCAGCAACCAGCGCTGACTGAACGCAGTTGTATCTGGTCCTTCAGGAGGACCTTAGGTAACAGGCCTGAAGGGTTATTGGATGTCCAAGAGGGCCCCTTTGATACAATTTTAAAACCAAGATTTACAGCTCCTAAGGTTGTTTTTCTGGATCAGTGGACCCTAGAGTATAGGACTATGTCTCTCTTCTCTCTTTTGATATGACCCACCACTCGGCATGAAAAATTAACAATTATGTACAGAATTTTGGTTCTTTTGTTAACAGTTGTGGTCTGCACCAATATAGAATTAATTTTTTTCTCTCTGGCAGTAAAGAATAACAAAAACAAACATTATAAAAGAAAACTCGACCTTACCTCGTAATTTGTTCTTATCACAAATTTACCACATCTGATTAGCAGATTACTGAAGTCTAGACCTTCTAGCAGGCTGTTTATTGTTAAATAAATTCTAACACAGTCTCATGTTTAAATGGCAGATGGATCGATTTACCGCAAAGCACGCCACTGATTGAGAGTTGGGTTATTACCGAACAGAACAATGCATCAATATAAATTAAGGTAACATTAACTCAATTGAGAATAAAATCGCTAAAATTTAAAACACTACAAAATTAAGTGAAGAAAGTTTGAGCTTTTTTAAATTTTAGCGATTTTATTTTCAATTTAAGTGTACTTTCCTGATTATTTAGCCTTATTTTCGTTATCATGTCAACTCTATTTTGGTAAATAATATGATTAACTCTTAAACTAGTTAAATATAATGAACGTAATTTTAAGTATTAATGTGGAGCACCAACTAGTTGATTTTACTAATGAAACAATTAATCATATCCTTTACTAAAACAGAGTTGATCCTCATTCATTACCATATTTTTTTTCAGGATTTAATTAGGTACCTGCGATCCTGAGGGCGTCAACTGTAATTAAATTAGAAGGAAAACAAACATTATTAGGAACCAGACATAGACATTGGCTGATATTCATTCATTCATTAAATTGATTTGAAGTGGGTAAATTAAGATACCAGTATACAATGCATTTGACTAAGGTATAACAACCTCTTTTGCCTGTGAGATCCACGCAGTTGTGCACTGTGAAAAAATTAAGCTGATTTTTGTCATGCTCCGTAAAAAACTGAAGCCAAAGGGTATCGAATTGTGAAAGCAATGCAGCTGCAAAGAACCTGAAATTTAAAAATGTTTTCATGATTACAGTCAAACAGTAGGTAACAGAAAGGTAAAAGGAGCTAGACAAAAAATGATTCGGGGAACTTCTTTTTATTTTCCTAATGGTGAGGTTTCCTCTCATGAGTGTTTGGAGTCTGCATACAATACTGTGCTCAGTGCTGAGTAAGAAACTTAATTTTTATTTCTAAAATCAGGAATTTTGTGAGAAAATCTTGCTAACTCTCATGAATTTAAACATGGAAGGTCTTCCTGGCTTTTATTAAAGAGGTACATAATTTATCCAATCCTTACTTTTAATGATAGCCAGCAAAAAAGGCAGAAGCCCTATTGTAAAATTGAGGCACTGAATGCGAAAAGGGCACTTCTAGATTGCAGTGTTTCAGAATCCCTGTTGCTAATTAATCCCTTGGAGAAGAATTTAATGGGTGATTTTGCCAGAATTCTTTCCATAGAAAGTTGTAGAATCATAAGGAATATTCAGTGAAATGTTTAATGAAATGGATGCGTTCACTTTCCTCACAATGAATGAAATATTAGAGGAGACTCTGAAACACTGCAACCGAGAAGTGCCCTTTTCGCATCCAGTGCCTCAATTTTGACTTTATCAAGGGTATGGGATATAGATATAAGTAACCTGTGAGACAAGGCTAACATGGAGAGCCATCAATAATCAGCTGGATAGTTTGATCTCTTTCTCAAGTCTAAATTGGTATGAATTAAAGATTGGTTGCAAGGGCGAGTTAGAAGCGCTGATAGCCTATTGCAAATTCCACTCAATGAGAAGAAAGTTGAGAGATCAAAATTACACTAATAAATTACCACTGATTAATTCCATTGACGTGTTGATTTTTGTCCCCTGTCAACACTATTTTCGATTCAAGGAAGATGTGCTTTCAACTCATTACAATCTTGGACCTGTGCAGAAGAGGGATGAGAGAGAACATACCACTCTCACTAGGTTTCGGGCGCCTAAATTTGGTCTTGTAGAGCTATTAGGAGTTGAAAGTGTTGGTTCAAAGATGACTTTTGCTGACTGTTTTAACCTTTAGGTTGGAAAAAAAAGGAAATCATATGACTTATCTTCTGGTCAACCTTCATTTTATGGCTGATGAGCAAAATCACGTACTTTCGTTTGCAATGTGACAGACCTTCCGTCATACTTCATTTTTCCTTTGGAAAAATAGCAATGTAATTTCTTGAAAATTTCCTTGAGTTTTATCTCTCTTATAGCAGAATATTCTGTACACATTTTAAGCTACGAAGTTGACTGGCTTCTCTTTAAAAAAATAAAATAGGAGCGGAAACATCGCAATGGAGAAACGTAGTTTTCAACTCTAGCCATCCATATTATAAACAGTTCAGAAATACTTACCTGTATTAATAGGAGGATTTTAGTTAGACTAGCTTCACGGACAGGTCCAGAATAGATCAAAACCAAATTTAAAAGAGTTAGATTATTGCACTCCATTATGTCTTTGCTCTCCCTTGAGTCTAGAAGTTTAACGATCTTTAGAATCTTAATGCAAAATTTTCCTGGGAGTGTCAATTCACTTTTTGCAAAAGCAACTTTGCTTGCCACTAGGAGTTTATCCTCATTTAATCTGGGAACAAATAAATCACAATTTAAAACTGATATTCAGATAATAATTGGGAAGATGTCGATGGCTTTATTCTTTTTTCTTACTACTTCAAACAGCCCACAAAGGCTAATCCTGCGCTTTAGTCCCCTCCCCCTCCGTCCCTAAAACCAGTCCCAGGCAACCATTGTTTGAGACCATCAAACTCAGGTCGCCTGGCCGGGAATCGAACCCGGGATCTCCCGATCATAGAGCTAGCGCTACAACCACTACACCATAGGAGGCCGACAAAAAGGAAAGGATTCTGAAATTAACAAGATTAAAAAAAATATAAGTTGGTCTCTTCATCTGGGTACTTTGAAAAACTTTCGCCAGATATCTTAGCTCATTTAATTCCCTTCAATAAAAACATGAATTATTACTCAACAATCAGCCAATCGTCTCAACAGTGACCCCTAGGTGACGAATCAATGCCTCAGTATGGGTAAAAGTAATCTAAGTAAAAACTAATTTTTTTTACATAGAACCTTCAGATGGAAAACTACTTATTCAGTGTCACACAGCAGTAGCAGGGTACAGAAATCGTCATGTGGAGTGTGATGAAAAGGAGGCCCAAGCAAAAATAACAAGTTGTGGCTGGGTGGTGAAGTTGCAATTCTTTTTCTGACGAACATGTGCTTGAAGGGTAACTTTACTAAAATAATTAGGTACAGTTGAAATTATTAAATCCCCAGAAAGAGTGTTAATGATTTTTTGTTTTCAAGAAGAAAATCTGGATAATGCCTCCCTTTTTGCTGATTGCATCCTCCGATACAGTCATAACATATTTTGGCTTACTGACTACAATAAAAAAAAAAAAAAAAAAAAAAAAAAAAAAAAAAAAAAAAATTCCTGCTATTTATGGTGGCTTGACACTTTAGGATGAAAGAGAAAATTGATGAAATATAACTTACGCTGGCATTCTATGCCTTGGGCAAGGCATAAAATGAAAAAGCTGCGGTACGGAATAGAGAAAATTGAAAATTTGGGGGATGAAAAATAACAATAACGTTTTACTAAAATGACCTAGAATTCCAACTACTGCTAATGTCATTCCAGCAAAATAACAATATGTGTCACCCACGAATACTTCTGCCGGGCACCTGAAACAATAAAACAAAAAATTCAGTAAAGAAACACTTGAGATCAAATTTGACAGTACCTAGGTAAATCAAATTGATGTTAAAAAATGCATTTGCAGGGTGTTTCCACTGTGCCTTGAACAAATGCAAATAATTTCGAGATTATTTTGTTCTGTTAGAAAAATTTTGAATCATGAAAATGTTTCACGGGACAAACTAATTAAACTGTTCCAGCCACTGGAAATAAAAAAAGAGCAACATTTTTGTTGTCAATTTATCTAGGAATTTTACTAAGTGCCATGCACTTGTATCTATCCACAAAAACAGCTTCAATTTGCATGAGAGGGGTATCAATGGTACCTTACCTTGCATATTTTTTGAAAAAGCCCTGAATGCCCTGCTGGGTTGCAGATTGAAAATGAACAGAATGATAGAAAAAGAATTGCGCTGAAATTTCCCTCATTTCTCTGACACATTTTAGGAAAAGTCCCTGACAATTGAAGATGTGCCAGATTGTTAAAAAGACATACTTTGAAATAGTTTTCAGGCAAAAGTTATGGTTTGAAGCATCGAATCCCTCATAGAAAGCAAATAAAGGTGACTTAACACTTTTTCCCAGACACATTCGTCATTTTCCCTGAAATTTTTCAGATTTCCCTGACGTTTCTCTGTATTCCCTGACTGTGGCAAACCTGCATCTGGTAATTAAGATTTTCTCCTGATGTAGTCAATTCAGGAGTGCTAGGCAAACTCTTTTTTTAGCGGGAATCATTGAAAAATTTGATTAACTGGACATTTTGTAAATCTTTTTGAAGTAATTGAAAGAAGATGGAAGGGGGTGCAATGAAAACAGAGAATAGAACAAAAAAAAAACTAATAAGCTGCTTACCAATTAAATTTTAAGAGCGCTAAAGTAACTGAAACAAAAGGTATCATGAAAAATAGGGAGAACTGATGAGGCTGCCAAAACTCTCCAAACATCTCAATGATATTGAAAAGACAAACCGACAGCGCAATGATGAGTGACTGTCCAGCCTCTAACCCATTAATTCCTGCTAGAATGTTAATTGCATTTGAGCAAAAAACAGCCAGCATACCCATGTACACATAGTAGAAAATACCTGTAACACAGCAGCAATCAAAATTATTAGGAATGTTCAGATAAAATATATTTTGCAAAGTTATTTGGTCTTAAAACTTCTGTGACTTTTCTCCTTAATGCGAAGGAAATTCTGTGAAAACTTGAAAGAGTGATGGTGATTTGTCCTCCTTTAAAAAATAAAATATGAGTAGAGATTTTAAAACTCCACAAACTAATTACATGTTTTGGGGGTTTCGTCGTCAAGAGGTAAACAATTTCTGTAAAATTTCACAGGAGATTTTCTCAACAGATACTAGAATGAACTCTTTGCAGCAATACTGAAAAGTTGTGGACTTTTGCATCTTGATGCCTTGATAAGAATAATTGGTTTTAATTAATATAAATGTATTTGCCTACGTACCTAAATTAACTGATAGTCCAAAGGTTGATCGCAAGAATTTTGGCAAAATAACTGTTGTGGAATTGAAATTTACATAGTAAACCATAAGTAATGGTAATGATGCAATTGAAGGTAGTAGCAATTTGTAACGCCATGGAATATCCAAAACATCGTCCGCAAAACCAAACATCAACATGCATGAAATGCACAACAGCCCTGCTACAGATTCTACGAACTGAAACAGTCAAACAAAAAGTTTTGAAAGTTTTCTCAATCAACTAAGGAAACTTGAATTCCTTACCAATTTGGAGGGAGACCTTATTCAAAATCTACTGAAAATTCACAGAAAAAAAAGTTGCTGAAGTAACATCCTCGATATTAAACATCTACGCGACACCTCTTGAATGTTGTTAAGGACACTTCGGTGTTATTAACACAGTGGCTACGGTGAATTAACAACCATAGGGTTCATATCAACATTCAAGAGTTGTCGTGCAGATTTTTATCATCCGTGATGTTACTTCGGCAACTTTATTTTTTCTGCGACACTCTCATTTCACACTAAAGTAATGCAAAAGTGCAAAGCTTTTTTTCTTGCGATTTTTGAATATTTTATGGAACCTAAAAACATAAGGAAGATTGAAAAACATATTACCTCTTTCTGTGGACAGTTGTGATCCCGTAAAATCGACTGCCGAAAAGCAATTGCAGAGAATATAAAAAGTGTAACCAAGTATGTTAGCCCAACTATAAATCCAAACGCTTCAGGTCTGAAACAATGATCATAAATGAGTAACAATTGAAAACATTGAGAGGCAGTATTTATTAGTTCTGCAAGTATTGTTAGACTTGGCTTCTTGATGATATCCTTAAACCTTCATCACTAGATTTTGTAGATCTACAAAATCTTCAGGGAAAAATATATTTTCCTCTACGCATGATAGGCAAATGTGATTTCTTAAGGTCATAAGTGAAGAGAGAATACAGACAGAGATGGCAAGCTATCACACCTACATCTCTATGTTACAGCAAGCAAACGCAAGTTGTATTAAGATCGACCCAAAGTTGGATCATGTACCTAGAGTGAAAGACAGTGTCAGATATGTTCTCCTCCGCTATTGGATAAGAATGATCCTATGCTCCCGAGCTCTAAAATCAATGCTGATGTATAATATCTGCTTTCAGAATATACTTCATGAGAAACGGATTTCCTTCACTTTAATTCCATATTTGAGCTGTCATATAGCAATGTTTGAACTATTTAATGATAAAACTACAAAATCGTGAATCTCTTAACTACATTCCAGATTACCTGCCGTGTTTTACTGTCGTGAACAATGAATGATCTGCATCAGGTATGGGGATCAAAGTTTAGAGTGATTTACATTTGTCATTTTATTTTCCGAAAATTTCAAACAAGAATGCAAGAAAGTAATCTCTGGAAAAAATCTAGTCCAGGGAGGGGGATTTTGAAAACACAATCAAGATACATTTTCATAGATTCACTACAACATTGTTACTTGTGAATACTTACATTTTCGGTCCTTTGACTTTATGTAGATCAAAGCCAAATAAATTTTTTTGTATGAATCTGCGCTTGAACTTTGGAATCAAAGAAATAGTAAGCCAATAAGTAATTACAGAAAATATCAAATTCAGATGAATCAGGAGCCAGTTCTCTCCTGAAGGAGTGTTCCACATTTTCGTTGTGTGAATGAAAATGTGCACCTGCAAGCACTAAGAAGTGCCAGATATTACTTAAACTTAAAAAGTATTATCACTGAGAAACTTCAGACCACTGGACCTTCAATGAGAATGTTTAAAACGCCACGGATGCAATAAAATACTTCGTAATTCATTTCGGTTTGATAACGATTGACACATGGAAATTTGTTGTTGTCGCATTCAATGAAGTTGGTGATAAGCTCGACTGAAATTCATTGATAAGAGAGTTTTAGGTTAGTTCCGATTTCATAGCGTTCCGCCGATTTCAATATTGGATCCAGAAACACGAATCGGTCCAAATTCAAAGGAACGCTGGAAGTAAACGCAAACGGCTTCATGATTTTTGCGGTGTTTTTGGATGGTGTCTCTTTCAATTTCTTTACTTATTTTTCGACTTTACCAGTGGTTTTATGTTATTTTTAGCTCCTGTGACTAATATTATAAAAGTTAATAACAATGTCTACCGATAGCATCGAAAAGTTGTACAAGAACTTCGGCGTTCTCGCTGATGCCAAAGACAAAATAGGAGAGGTAAACCCTTTTGCCACTACTTACATGAACTTACATTTTTTGTTGTCTCATTTCTTGAGACTTTAAGCAAGTACATAAATTTGTTACCTCAGCCTACTATGTCCATGACTGTGAGGTCAAGCCGATGACCGAAGTAAAGCTGTTGAAGTTTGGGTCTTCCTTGCAGGGGCGCTGGAAGTTCTTAGCCGTCACACTTTGGTGGCAGCCTTTGCATCGTTTGAGGTTGCCCTCACATTGCTGTCCTCATAAGACTTGCACACTTCACTGTTTTCTTTATCTAGAAGAGCGCGCCTCACTATTTCATTCATATGAAAGTGCGCGTTTTTAACTCTTCTTTTCGCTCCAGAGTAGGGAAGTGTTATCAGGCGAAATTGAAGGATAATCTCAGGTTTTCGTCTTACCTGAAATTATCGATGTTCATCATGCTTGCAATGATGTTTAAGAATCGCTTATCTTCTGCGATGTTGAGTTGAAAATTATTTGCTATCTCGTGTTCTTAATTCACGGCTGGAAGTTTGGGTACACGTTGCAATATTGAGGTGAATCAAGTAATGCGTAATTCTCAATGATTTACCAATACCACTGGTAAAATCACATTTTTGCTGCGATCCTACGGTATTTGATGAACGTGATGTTTCTCACTTTTTTACTAAGAAAGTCACTGCTTTTCTCGTGCCTTAAATTACTGGCTTTTATGAATATTGCGATATTCATGTGAAAGATCTTGAGAACATTATGCTTTATCTGTCCTCTCTTTGTATCTATTATTTTGTGTTCACTTTGTGCAATTTATCATCATAACCTTTTACTGTTTCCTTACAGCATGAAGCTGAATACCTCGAGATTTTAACAGCTGTCAAAGGTACCTCCAATGAAAAACGTCTTGCCAGTCAGTTTATTGCCAGATTTTTCAAACACTTCCCCAACTTGGTAGATCAAGCTCTCGAAGCTCAGTTTGATCTATGTGAAGATGAAGATATTTCTGTAAGTTTATTTTACATTTTTTAAGTTGTTTCCTATTGATGTATGAAGGAAACATGGCGTATCACCTACTACCAAGCGAAACTATCAGCTGATGCAGCTGATCAGAAATAGCCGGAGTGAGCATGGGTATCGACTGTTTCCCATGCAGCACATTGTGCAGTGAATTGCAATGATTCAGTTGGGCTGGCCCCAGAATTGCCTTTTGATGCTTAATTCTTGTAGCTTAGCTACAACCTAAACAGCAACTTCTATGCACAATCAGGGTGGCCACAGTCAGGGACTACCGGGAAATCAGGGAAAATGATGAAAGTGTAGGAGAAAAATTGTCAAATCACATTAATTTGCTTTGTCTTAAATGGGTTGGACGTCTTGAACAAAAAATTTTGCCTAAAAACTATTTCAATATCTATCTTTTTAATGATCTGGCATATCTTCAATTGTCAGGGAATTTCATTTTCTAAATTCTGTGGCAACCATTTCAATATTAACCGAGTTACAAAAGCCAGGTGAAAAAGGAGAAAATGAGCTCAGGAAGTCGTGTTTGGACAGAGCTTATAACTTTAAGCTAATCTTCAAGAATCAATCATCAAAATAAAATTCTGTGGCCAGCGCACAACAGACCCATTGGGTATGCAGTAAAATTATCGCCATTGCATCAGAGAGTTGTGTATGTTGCCTACCTTCTTATGGAAGAGACACCTCATATTTAAATGTTTTGCAACAAAATTTAAATAAGTTGCAATTAGGTCTAGCTGTTGAGTTTCGGATCACACATCTGAAACTTCCGTTCTTACATCTGAAGTACTTCAGATGTGAAAACCGAAGTTTTTCGGATGTGAGAACCAAAGTTTTTCGGATATGAAAACCGAAGTACTTCAGATGTAAGAACTGAAGTTTCAGATGTGTGATCCGAATCTCGACAGCTAGACCTAAAAAGTTCAGATGTTCAATCTGAAAACTTCAGAGATCCATATGACCTAAACTTTGGGACCCATGCACAAAGCTTTTTCCTCCTTGTGGAACTTAAATTATGGCAAAATCCAAAAGTGCTGTTTTTAGCTAATGCGGCACAATAATGGCAAGCCTCCTAAAAGGATTAGCAGTCCATTGTCTTTTTGAGTTCAAGTCTCCACACATTAGCATTCATCGTCACCCTCATTTTCTTAACGTTCACACCAAATTAATTTACGCACTTCTCTAGTGCTACAGAAGATCAGCTATCCTCAGTTTAGCATTGAAGGCAAGTAGAAGAATCAAAGTGGCAGATTTTTTGTAGCACTATAAAAGTGTGGAGACCTATTTGGCATGGACTTTAGTAACGACGATGACCCTCCTTGCACTATATGGGCAAGATAAAATGAAATCAATTTTATATTTCTCCTGAGACACTTATATTCACAAAATATTTTTCAGATTCGCAAGCAAGCGATCAAGGATCTGCCTAGCCTTTGCAAGGACAACAAAGAACAAGTTCCCAAAATAGCAGATATTTTAGCACAACTCCTCCAGGCAGAAGATCCAACTGAGCGCAGTGTTGTCCAATCATCATTTATGACACTATTCAAAGTAGATGCCAAGAGTAAGTGAACTTCTCCACAATTTATATGTGACAGGTTCTGTGAGAAGGGACCTTATCTTCTAATAGTAAATCGTCCAGGAGAACCAAATTTAGGAGAAAAGGAGTAAATTTGCAATTTTGAGCTTTCAAGGGGAACTACTTTATAGCAGCCTTGGGAACAAGCTATGCGTGGATTTAGTTCAATTTTCTCAAGTTACAATGGGTGCTAACTGCTCCTTTTTCATGTGCATGTCGGAATTCGTTGCCTAAGTATCACTCAAAATTTGAGAATTTTTGTCTTGGAACTCGAAGATTTCATATTTCCTAATTTTTTAGTTTTTAGGGTCCAAATTGCATCAAAATTTCTAGATTTTTTTTCTTAATGCAGTGGCACCATTAACTTAAATTTGAATTTTTGAAAGATAAGGCCCCTTTTCTCAGATGGCATCAAATACTATGTCTGAGATTTTTATCCTTGTTTACCCTTTTGCATCTCTGGCATTCACTTTCACAACGCAGGAAAGACATATTTAATTTTCTGATTTTTTGGCTTGTAGGTGCAGTGACGGGGCTATTCAATCAGATTTTAACTGGAGATGACACAGTACGTGAACAGTGTATCAAATTCTTATATTCTAAAGCTAAAACTCTCGGAGCAGATTTCATCCCAAAAGAAATTGAAGATGAACTAATTGCTCTTTGTAAAAAAGTGTTGCAGGTATGCTAATTTTATTTATTTTGAATGAGAACACATTTTATTATGAATTGTATTTTCTTATCTTCCTAATTTTTAGAGAATAATGAACAGATTTCAGGAGCTTTATCATTTGCAATCTGATATTGTGGTTTGAATTTTGCACTCCCATCTCGCATATTGTTAAGTACTGATTATCCTCTTGTTGTATTGTATCTAAATCCTACAAATTTTGACAATAATCAAATAGCGGTTAGAATCTGATCAAGTTAGGAATTGGTTCCAACTTCTGGAAGAGCAGGAAAAGAACGAAAAGGTAATCAATGGCAAAGAAACCTAAAGCCATGTAGCTTTCAATGTATCGCCCGCATTCATCAACATTCTGTTTCTCACAGTTCTCTGCTGGGAGAAATTACTCTTTTATCTTAAAAAAACACCTTCTAACATTGTTTGTTCGTAGTGGTAACTGCTGCCTCTCCAAATTTGTGGTCCATTCATTAGGAGCTCAAAGAGTTGATTTATACACTTCGTTTCAACCTGTAAGCCTGTCCTCCAGTGAGTCTTTTTGCAAAAGAGAATCAGTGAGAAAACTCATTCAGATGCGAGAACTGCTGATGAGAAATATTTTCTTCTCTTCTGATGAGCACTCAGACCAAGGATTAATATTTCAGCTTAACAGAAACAGTGAACTGCCAGAAATTAAGCATGTCAAATTATGTTTTCTTATCTATATTTTACATAGAATACAATGGATGCATTAAATGGTTTTTATCCACGTCAATCCACATTTCCTGCCCATAAATAAATCATAGTTCATTAGAGTCAAATGGAGCACTACACCTATTTTGGTATATTTTGCTACAGAAGAATTATCCTATGTAATCTTTTTAAAGCAAGCTGTTGTTATTTGTCTCATGTATAGGCTCTTGTCAATTCCAAATTTGGCCCATGTTAGTAATTTATTTGCGAGCGGGGAGTTTGAATTAAATGTTATTTTTAAACGTTTATTTCTCACTTATGTGCTAATATCAGAAGTTTTCGATGCGTTCAACGCGTTTTGAATGAAATTATAATGAGAAAACCAGTGCTGTAGTGCTTAATTTCAAAATTATCGGGTTTTCGGCTACTCCTAAGGAAAAATAAAATACTGTGTTTTTTCTCTTTGTTTCTTGTATGCATCCTGCCATTGTATTCTCTATCTTTGTATGTTCTTTGAACCGCTGAAAGCTTTTATCATGGGCGAAACGTTTGCTTATTTTTCACCATGATAGGGTAACTTTTTAAATATGAACATCCTCTTGCACACTGTTTCTTATTAAAACATTGCCTGAGTTCACATATTATTGAAGAGAAAATTGGCTATAAGCTCAGTATTTATGCTTAATTTCTTCTATCTGCATTTTTATTTACTTTTTAAATTTGTCTTAAGGTTAATCTTAAACTAATCCTTACGGACACGTTTTTCTCTCAATGTTTTTTTCTTAAAGACATGTTTTGTTCTCATTCTCAGGATTGCACTGCAGATGAATTCGTAATGCTCATGGAATTGCTCGGTGGAACAAAATTGGGGAAGACTGTGTCTGGACACAAAGAGATCATTGACATTATCAGTGAGCAAGCTGAAATAGGGGATGAGAACTTCAATCCTCAAGACGAGGAGCAAGTCGACAAATTAGTTCATAGCATCAGACATGCTCTCCCGTATTTCTCGGTAATTCTCTTCTTTAATTTTCTCATTCTATCACTCAATTTTCATGAGCACATCTCTCGCATATAAGTTTTTGTTCAGTTTTGGTTTTTTTTTTCCTTTAATTTTGTTGCTATGGAATCCTCCAGGGGTGCAGAAAATGCTTGATCACGCGTCCGTCCGGGCATGTGAAAATGTGGGAAGGCCCTTACAAATGTGGAAGGAGGGATAATTTTTAAGGGTCAAAAGTCGAAAATCAAAGGAAAGATGAGGAAAAAGGTTCTCTTTTTAAATTGGTAGGAAATTTTGTGGAAAACCGATGAGGCAAGCGGTGAAAGCCGGTGGGGGGGGGGGGAGGGCGTGAAAACGCGGAAGCTTGGAAGATTCTGCACCTCTGGAACCCTCCTTTCAAAACACTAAGCAAAAGAAGTCCATATAAGAATTATAGAAAATAATTTTCTGTCTGTAGGCTAAGTTACGTTTTTATGGCTTACAAGACAAAAAGACTCCCTCTTGTTTCAGAGGCACAGTAAGTTCCAAGCATCTCTCCCCAATTTCACTCAACTTCCACCGTTCTTCAGTGAATACTTCCCTCTGAAAACTAAGGAAAGATAGAACCTCCTGGCCAAAAGACAGGACTTTTCTTTTTCTGAAATGCTGAAATATTTTACATGGGGTCTCCATTTTTGGTTCCCTTTATATGGGTGTTCCGACGCATATTTTCCATCTTGTGACCGGCTGACGACGTGACCGGTCTCATGGACGGATAGTTTCTGCACCACTGCTCTGTCTGTCTTTGATTTTGCAGGAATTCAGGATATTACCAGATTTTCAGGAGCCACTGAGTCTGTATTTACCAACAAACCCTGCGGAAAGTCTCATCTTGAATTTTTGAAAATTTGTGAAACAATTCTAAATGGCTCCCCTTAATACTAAATATTTGTGCTTGTGTTAACTGAGTATTCGCAGTGGTGAGGTGACTTGGAGCGCTTTGGTATTACATGATACGATTGAAAGGTCAACGGTTTGAATCCTAATCTGACGATTCACTAATCCTCTGAATCTTTATGAAATCGGAAAGGAACAGTTTCCTTGCTAGTCTTCCTTTTATGTCAGTGCTTGAGCATAAAATTCAGCCTTTCAACTCCATACCCATCTTTGAATCAAATGTATCTCTACAATATTTAGTTTTTTTATTTTAAAATTTTGACCGCAGATACCTACCTATTTTCCTGAAATATGTCACATTGTTTTTATTTGCTCTTATTTTTAGTTATAATGTAAATTGAATATTTAGATCTTTCTTAATTTCTTGTTTTTTATTTCCTCAGTCTCAGCTGAACTCTAGCAGATTTGTTGAGTACATTTGCAACCATGTTCTTCCGCAATTGGACAAAATTTCTCCCAGCAAAGAGGGGCCTGACTCAAAGCTGGAACTGTTGAAATTATTTGCAGAGCTTTGTACTCATTCACCAACCCTTCCGAATATCGAAACAAACCTGGAAAAGGTTTTTGCTGCATTGACTGTGAGTTTCATATATTCTGTCTGAATTCCTGTTTCTTGCCCTCTTAATATTTTTGAGTTCCTTTTTCAAGGGAATATTTCCAATGTTTGAAACTCAACTTTGGATTAATTTAGAGGTAAACTAAGTACTAGCGAGCAAAAGAAAATGATTTTTTTTTTCAAAGAATGGTTGACAATCTTTTCATCTGAATTTGTATTGATCATTGGAAAAAGAATTTTCGGCTTACTTCATACTCTCTCTAAGGCGAAGATGTAGCAAATGTGCGGTTTTGTATTCTGTGTTAACTTAGAAACTTGAAGAGCATTTTACTGCTTCCCGTCTTTTTTTTGCATCTGTCTTGTCATTCTTTTGGAACTCTCCCAACACTTTGGTTATGTTTCTTGTTTTAAATTGTTCGATTCTCTTTTGTTCCCAGAACTTTATGCCATTACCTCCTGTTGAAGAAGAAACAATATCAGAACCCAAGATTGAATTCTCTCATGTTGAATGTCTAATATATGCTTTTCACAGACTGAGCCGGCAGTCACCAGATTTTCTGACAAAAGATGCGGAGAGAATGAGAAACTTTAAAATAAGGTTCGTCCAATAAGTCTCGGTAAACTTGCAAACAGCAGGTTAGAAGAGTTAACATGCAAACCATTTATAAATTACAAAGGAGCGAAGCACAGTAATGCGTAACTTCTCCGACAATTACATCAAATTTCGATGTATCAATCAATTTTCAATGTATTAATCAATCTTCTATTTATGGAAACTATCAGATATTATTTTTTTCATAACATCTGATGCTGTCAGGTTTTGTCTAAGTTAGATATGCTTTCAAGTGTCTCTTCACAGAAAAGTTAGACTTACTTAAGACCTACAAGACTACCTTAAACTTCTACCATCGAAATTAATCCGTCTTTGTACGTTTCAAATTTCAGGCTGCAGTATCTGGCACGAGGAACGCAAGGATATCTGAAAAAACTGAAAGAGTCTGTGGAAGGTAAATCTTCTGAAGATTTGAAGTCAGAGGAATGCAAAATTAAAGTCCTAGCATTGAAAACTACTAATAATATAAATACCATCATTAAAGACTTGTTCCATGTACCACCGAGTTTCAAAACAAACGTCAACCTCTCATGGAGACCCACTGTTTCCACCGTAAGTTGCTTTGTCCTTTATTTTTGAAGTTTTTATCAGGAATATATTAGACCACTGATGAAACACATTCATCATTAATCCTGAAAAATGGACGATTGTTACTTGAATCTTAGATGTTCTTCCGCTTGCGCTTGTAAAATGAGCACATTAATTGGAGTTCTTTGGAACAAGGACGAATTCACAATAAAGTAGTTTTGAGGAAGTTGTTTTTAAAAGCTAAGAAGTGTTTAGCTTTGGTTCTGAGCAATGATTTTTCCCACAAACTTGCGCTTGTTTGACTGAGCAATCCTTGATAATGTCTCTGCCAAAAGTGAGCATTTATTAAAATTTTTTGGAATTCAGAGAGTAAGAAAAGTTATTTTGCTGGAAAAAGCAACCATGCTTGTCACTAAATTAGCCTCCTTGGCACTAAAAAGCAATAGACAAAACAAAGGGGTAAGGGAAAAAGAAAATCAATGGTCGAAAAGTGAAACCACATATCTCAGTTTTCATTATTGGAGACTCCTTGTCATACTTTATTTTTTTTTGGAAAACTAGTAAATGCAATTTCTTGAAAACTTCCTTGATTTTTCTTCTCTGTCAGCAGAATATGCTGAATAAATTTCAAGCTATAAAGCTAGCTTATTTCTATTCGTAAAAATGAAATAAGAGTGGAAATTTTGAAACGTTGCAATAAAGATAAGGGGTTTTGCACTTCGGCCTTCAAAGTAGTCTTCAAGTATTTAAGCTCCATCTCAAATTCATATTATAACAACTAATGAGTTTTTTATGTATGGATCAATTTGGAAACATTATATCTCAGTCTACAGTGCTGCAGTCTTTCTTATTTCTTAATTGAAAATTTAATTTTTTTCTTCAGTTAGGAAAAATATTCTGTGAAAATTCTAAGCAGTCAAGTTGGCCCATTCTCCTTCAAAAAAATAAAACCAGAGCAGAAATTTTGAAACCCTCGAGACATGCGGTTTCTGTTTACCATCTGATTTGTGTGTTTGTATGTTTAACAGTCAGTAAAATTATTGAATTTTCAGACAAAAAGTAGTGCTGCCACAACCAATGGAACTGCTGTCAAGAGGCACAAACCTATTACCTTTGACAGCTCCCCATCAGCCAAACTAGCAAAAACAGACGCTAAAGTTTACACTCCTCCCAGTGGCAAATTCAGCAATACTGTTTCTAGTTACTGTGAGTATTTCATTTGTTTATTTTTCATCTGGATTTACAATGCATTCTCTTTCTTCTGAGGTATCTGAGGGAAAAATTTGCATTGCAGGCATGCATTTGCTGAATTTCTAAAATTTCTTTGAAGAAAAATATTGGAATCAAGGGAATTAAGGACCTTAAAAGAATGATCAGAATGTAACTGAAAATTCAAGATAAGTTGCGTATAATGTCCTCTAACACTGTTTGTATGTAAAGAAAAGTTGCCTGATCGCGAGAAACTCAGCACTTTGGAACTTTTTCTGCTGCTGCTGCAAGAACAAAGTTATTTGCTGCTTATTGCTGTGAGAATGGCAAAGATTTTATTCGAATTAAATCACCTACGGCAGTGAAGCGTAGCAGTTGAAGAAACGGACCGAAGAAATGCTCAAGGCGACTAAGATGGATTTCTGGCGAAGATCGCCTGGAATCTCGAGGAGAGAACGTGTCCGAGAGATAACGGGCGTTGAGGGGACAATTGTGCAACATATCATGATCAAGCAATTGGTATGGTATGGACATGTGCAAAGAATGGCTGATACCAGGTTGCTGAAGAAGGTGTTGGAGTGGGTCCTCCAAGGTAGGCGGTGGAGAGGGCATCGAGCCAAACGGTGGGTAGAGGGCATCCATGAAGAGATGGAGAGATGCCAGCTTCCGGAGGATCTCTACCATGATAGATTCCTGTGGCGAGTAGGCGTCGCAGAGCGCCGTAAAAGCGGTTCATACATACATACAAATCAGTGGAAAAGTGGTTTGATGGCAACATCATTTAGGGTGTCTTTATTTGATCAAAATTAGATGCAGCATGGTGCCATCTTTAGCCGAAAGAAAACCCTTCAATCAAAAATTTTTACTTCAAACTCTTTGGAACCTCCAGGTCAGGTCCGTATAGGTACTGATCTGCATTGACAAGGGGTCCAACAGCCTTGCAAAAGTGTATCATATTTTCATTAGCTTCCTGGCCTTTGGGCCCATCCTAGCATCATAGAATTTATGGGAAACATACGACAGGTCCCATAGGTCTGGTGTAGTGCAAATATGATAAGTACGTCAAAGCTTGATGAGCATTACATTGTTGTATCTTGTTATATCAAGATTTACTGTTATTATAAATCTAGTTAACATAAATGCTTTGCTTTTGCAGCGCCCGCACAATCGAATTTCAGATCCGGAAGGAGACCACGTGGAAGAGCACCAGTTCGAAGAGGAAGTAGCTCAGGTAACAGCTTCCGATTAAGGCCTAGTAGAGGAAGACTTCCCTCAAAGAACTGGCGGTACTAATAGAAGCATGGCTCAAAAGTTAATTCTGCTGTTGGAGTGTTTTTTATTGTAAGACTCATGTTTGATGTTAGAGACGCAAAAGCAGCGTAAAAGTGAAGAAAAATAGTTATGAACAAATTTTCGAAAGGAAGCCAGTATATAGCAGTACACAAATATTTCTCCTTTTTCTGTTTTTACCTTTCTATTTACAGTTTAATCTTAGTTTGTCATCTTATTCATACAGGACTTTATTTTCATTTTCTGCAGCACTTCTACTTGTAAATTTCATTCTATTTGGTAAGCAAAATTCTCTTGAATAAGTCCCTAATTTATTTTCTCAGCCATTTTTACTCTCAATTGAATTTTTGATAAATTCAAGCTAATTTTCAAAAATGAATTACTTTTCATTTCTATATTTTTGTTTTGTTTTGTGTCTTCAAGTCATTACTTAAAATGTTCTGTGTATTTATATTTTTTCATTGAAGACGATTCTCTATGTGCTATGCATGTACATGTCGTAAAAACAATTTGTCATCACTGATAAATATTCACCCTCGTAAGAGTTTCAAAAGTGGAAAAAATCAAGATTTTATATTGCTTTTGACTATAAAGCATGATAAATTTGCACTTATGTTTTTCATTTTAAATTTAGTAAATATGTTTAGTTTTTTTCTAAACTTACTGGGTCCATTTATTTTTTCCCTTTATCCATTATTGCAGCCAATTAGAGTAAACCTGTAACTTTTATTTACCAATTTCATTTTTGAATATGAAAAATTCGACTTAATTTGTCAGGAATTTTCATCCCCTTCTCATTTCATCCTAATCTAATGTCTTGCTACTATTATCATTTTCTTTGCCTGGGTCAGGGTTATCGACTTTTGTTTTGAAAAATATAAAAATAGCAGGGAAAAAATCTGTAAAACCAATTTGGCAATTTGCTGTAGCTTTAAAATATTGGAACTAGAGAGGCACAAGTCTCTGATTTAGAGAAAGTGCTGGAAGAGCAGTTTCAGGTTTATTGGCCTTCCTTAGTCCCAGATATGCCTTTCAAAATCATATTTGGAAGCCTTTATGCTCACATATATTATGTATCAATACAATAATACTCAAATGGGTGTATATTGTAATGCAATGAATATGTGAGTAAGTTACATTAAACCAATAAGTAATCAGAGCAAACTTGATTAGAAAAGAATCTAATGTTAGCCAGAGAAGAAAGAAAGAAAGAGGAAAAAAGCAGACCTGCAATTTTATGACTTTGAATGATAAATATAATCCTTTCTGACAAGAAAAGCATTAATAGGTGTAGTACAATATGATACGTCACGTTGCCCCTGAAACCATCTACCTAAATATGTTCCGCTCGAGGAGTTAAAAAATTCCGAAAAATCGACTAATTGAAGTCGATTTTCTTGAATATGTTTACCTGCTCAAAATCAGGAAAAATCAAGGAATGAAATTCTTGAAAAATTCTGCGATGGACGCAGTAGGTATGCCACAATACTCGTTGACACAATAAAATATTAATTAAAAAAAATAAAAATCGTAGATTAAATTAGGAAGTTTCTTATTGAATTCTTCTTTCTTCTTCTTCTTCTTATATAATTGGACGTATTTCTATCAAATAGAACTACTTGCAGGTGAGAAATATGGGGTGTGCTCATTAGTTTTCTGGCCGTAATAGTGAATGAGAATAATAAAGCACCAGTGACGTCAACGGAGATGGCACCGCCGTCGTCCCGCCTCCGCTTCGTCTTTAACTCATGAGCCCTATCCACAACGCTCTAGTGCCATGTCCGCGGCTCATGAATCCCGCATTCAGTCGGCACATAGTTCTGTGTGCTGAATTTAAAACCCCGCTTTTCCAATTCTTCAAAAGGAATCACGCCCACTCAGGGCCGGATTAAGGGGGTGGCCACATGGTACACGTCCCATGGCGGCAAATTTAGGGGGCGGCCAATTCTGCAATTTTTTTTAAATGCAGGTATAAAAAAATCGGATTTAGAAATAAAAATTACTAACGAGAAAAGGCGAAAAAATTTCTCATTTCCTGAGAGTGTAGAAAGTTATAATTTTGTCGTCTTTCAGTGATACAAAAGACAGCACCTATAATTAGTCGAGTTAAGAGAGAAACCAAACACGCAATTTGGCCTGGAACTTAGGGAGAAATGATGACTAAAACTTGCGATGAAAATGAGAAGCCCTCGGCGCGGCGGTCGGCATGTAACAGGTAACACATATTAGCGCCTAAAAGACTGCACGAATACTTCAATCATTGCATCAAACACAGTGCGGTCACTGCGGTCAGCGTGAAACGGATAGCGCCTACAAGAATGCATGAATACTTCACGCATTGCGCCAAATACAGTGGGGTCAGCGTGAAACGCATAGCGCCTACAAGACGGTCGGAATACTTCACGCATTGCACCAAACACGGTGCGGTCTGCGCGGCGGCAGAAGTTAAAATCATTAAACCATATTTATGTTTGTTCTGTCATAATTTTTTTCGTTCATTTCTTATGAATGGAAGGCCTTGTCCACACAGAGATAGGTTTACGAAACTGAACTTTTGCAAGTAGTGTTGACAGGGCTTTCCCATAAAATGTGTCCAACACGAGTAAACGCGTCTTATGCATCCCTCCCCCGCCGGCACGTTTACTTGATGGTTTTTATTGATGTTTCAAAACGAATAAGGAGGGGGCGGCAAAATACAGGCGGCCGGCAAGTAGGTAAATCCGGCCCTGTGCCCATTGACCACATTGTTTCCTATCCAGCTTTCTAGAGCACACCCCATATTTCTCACCCGCACATAGTTCTGTTTCATAGAAATCAGGCCCGGACTTAGGGCGTGTGTAGGGCGTGCGGCGCACACGGGCGCCAGCCTTTGGGGGGCGCCACGAAAGAAGAAGAGAGGGGAAAAAAGGGGGGGAAGGAAAAGGAAAAAAGGGAAGAAAGGACAAGGGGAAAAAGGAAAAGGAAACAAGGTTGGGCAGTGAGAGCAAGGAAGAAGGGGGGAAATGGAAGGAAAAAGGAGGCAAGAAAAGTTAAAAGAGTGTCTGCGAGAAAGGGGGGGGGCATAAAAACCATAGACAAAATATAAAGAGAATTGCCGTCTAAAGGTAAATTTTCAGGACAAAAACTCCACCTGGTCCATAGACGGCCAGGCGCCCCTTGACCCTAAATTTGCGGCTGTACAGAAATACAAGAGTAGGCATGTAGTAAGTGGGCGCCATAAATCCATCGAACAGGAGCCGACATAGCATTTTAGGCCACGTCCGCCATCTTGGATTTGAGAATTTTTAAACATAGTAAAAATTCGAGTTTCCGGTCGAAAAATACCCTCAGACATCGAGTTTCCAAAAAATCCATCGAACAGGAGCCGACATAGCATTTTAGGCCACGTCCGCCATTTTGGATTTGAGAATTTTCAAAAATCGACTAAAAATTCGAGTTTCCTGTCGAAAAGTACCCCTGATCCCGCGGTTCACAAAGCTCTAACAAACAGAAACGGAGGCCAGAACCGGGACTCATTTTAGGCCACATCCAACATTTTGGAGTTGAGAATTTTAAAAAATTGACTAAAAATTTCAGTTTTCCGTTGAAAAATACTGTGAGATACCGCGTTTCACAAGACTCGAACAAACAGAAACCGAGATAGCATTTTAGCCCACGTCCGCCATCTTGATAATGAGAATTTTTAAAAATGGACTAAAAGTTTGAGTTTCCCGTCGAAAAATACCTCTTGACACCGAATTTCAGAAAAATCCATCGAACAGGGGCCGAGATAGCATTTTAAGCCATTTAGGATTTTCGAATTTTGAATTTTGACAGATTTTGACAGATTTTGATTTAAAACGCGTGATCCTCAAAATCGAAGCTCAAAATCGAAGCTCGTAAAAAATCGATGCGATTTCATGTATCATACTCTGACACCGAATTCCAGGAGAATCCAGCAAACAGGAGCCGAGATGGCAATTTAAGCCACGTCAGTCATTTCAGATTTTCGAATTAGGAAAATTTTACTTAAAACGCGTGATACCCAAAATCGAAGTTCAGATTCGGATTCCTCGTTAAAAATTGATACAATTTCATGTATCATACCCGAGCACAGCGAGAAGGAAAGAGACTTAACGTAGACATACTGATTCGAGCATATGAATCCAACGTGGCAACATGGGTAGTGTTCAGTGGGTTAGCGGAGGAGGAAGAATAAGAATTTATCGTGAGGAATTCCTCGGGACGAAACCGAATGCTTAGCGCCAGCGCGGCGTAGTTCAAAGGGGAAGTATGACAGAATCTATACGCGTCGTTAAACCTTTTTCCTTATCACGCTATTTTAACTTATGACACATGAAATCTCATCAATTTTTCACGAGGAATCCGAATCTGAGCTTAGATTTTGAATATTACGCGTTTTAATCTATGTAAAATCGTAAGAGAATTTACAGACCTGTCCTTGAAAATTGATCACACATTAGTGTTTTTTTACGTCATTAAACCTCTTTCCTTCACGCTATTCTAACATATGATGCATAAAATCTCATCAATTTTTCACGAGGAATCCGAATCTGAGCTAGATTTTGGATATTACGCGTTTTAATCTATTTAAAATCGTAGGAGAAATTACAGAATTGTCCTTGAAAATTGATCACACATTAGTGATTTTTTACTCCGTTTTTCTTCTACGTTCACGTAATGAAATTAGATCAACAGTTGACTCATCGACTAGTCTAGCCTAACCCCCCAGAATCGGTCAAAAGGGCGAACGATTTTATCAGATAAGATGTGCGGTCCTAGTTTCCGGGCAATTGCGGTTTGACGGAAGCTGCGATGAGGAGGAATGGAAGATATGCGAAACTCGGGCGGATATTAAGTGAGAAACCAGGTAGGGGAAAGGCTTTCTTCCCGAAAAGTTAGTGCTTGGGCCAACTTACATGGTCACTGGAGCATTGTATAGCAGGTTGTGGGAAACTATTTTTTTGCAGCAACAACTAATTGGATCGCATTTTGCAAAAAGGAAGTAAGAGCATTTCAATGTTGCTGGGATTGTGCAACTTAGGTACATTCTTTGCAAAAAGTAAACTTTGCGACGGTTATTTCCGTCTTGAATTCATAGTTTATTGGGAGTAGAGGTGAAACAAGTTTAGATGATCGTTTATGTTTGCGAGGTTAGCGACATTGGAATGCTCTTGATTAGAAATACGTCTAATGCTGACAAGTTGCATACGCAGCCCTTAAACATTCGTTGGAATTTTATTGAATCTAAAATTTCACTTTTCAAGTAAATGAAATTTCATTTTGCATCTCGCCGTGGAGGGAAGGTCGGAGCAAAGCAGGCCTGCGCTTTTTTGCAAGGCTGCAATTTTTCGGTCCGTCCGTGCCCTTTTATCTTGCACGTCACCGACGACTT